TACACGCACACTATGAGCGGAAAAACACCAGGTGAGAAGCACAGTACGAGCACACAGAGGCACAAAGACAGCCAGTGAGGTGAGTGCTACTGGGTTGCAAATCGTCTCAGCGGAAAGCAGACGTGCAGACATGCGCAGTGCAGTGCCGTCTGTCAGCCATACCCTTCCACACCTGCAGTGCAGTGCTGCCTGTCCTGCCTGCCTGCCTGCCTGCCTGCCTGCCTGCCTGCCTGCCTGCTGGCCTGCCTGCCTGCCTGCCTGCCCTGCTGGCCTGCCTGCCTGCCTGCCTGCTCACCTGCAGTGCTGCCTGTGCACCTGCACAGGCCCTGCCTGCCCTGCTGAACACACGCACACACACTGGGTGCTGAGATGCGTCTCATGCAGGTCGATCATCCCCAGCAGAATATCTGGGCGGCTGGCATGAGCCACGACGAGGACTCCTTTGCCCGGGTCGTCAGAGGGCGGGATGTAGGAGAGCAGGTCTGCGAGATGGAGCGTGGCCACGAGCGTGCGCGTGACCTCGGTGGTCATGTTGTTGCTGTGGGGCACGTCGCCGTACAGCACATGCGCGTTCAACACCCGTGCCACGTCCTCCACCTGCGGGAAACGGGAGAGGTGTATGCGGGGCAGGCAGGGGCGGAAAAAGGTGGGGTGGATGAGCGGGGAAATAATTCCATACAGCACATGCGCGTTCAGCACTCTCCCCACGTCCTCCACCTGCAGGAAATGGGAGAGGTGAACGTGAGGTAGGAGAGGTGTACGTGAGGTAGGGAGAGGTTTACGTGAGGTAGGGAGAGGTGTACGTGAGGTAGGGAGAGGTGTACGTGAGGTAGGGAGAGATGTACGTGAGGTAGGGAGTGAAAGCGACAAGTCAAGGTGTGCCGGCAGGGGGAGAAAGGGTGAACCAGAGGGGGGAAGGGAAGGGGATGCGCGTGCGGGTGATGTATTCCATCAGCCGCGCTGCGCTGCGGGATGTCTTGGGCATGCGGTAGATGAGCGCCCCGCCACATCAATGCCTCGCTCTCTGCACTCTTGAGGCGCCTCAAAGTCATCAATGCCTCGCTCTCTGCACTCTTGAGGCGCCTCAAAAGTCGTCAACGCATCGCTCTCTGCACTCCCACCCACACCCCTTCCCTGCTCAGAGAGCTCAATTCCCAGGAGCCAGTGCTCAATACTTTGTGTCCACCCCCATACAGCCATTTCCCATGCCACTTATCACCCTTCCCTCCCGTGTCTCTCTCGTTCCCTCATCCTGAACATGCTCCTAAACCCATGAAGCACCTGGAACGACTCGAGCGAGACATCCTCGGGAATGGCCCCCACAAAGGGATGTGTGCGCGGGTGATGTATTCCCTCAGCCTTGCCGCCCCCCGGGATGTCTTGGCATGCGGTAGATGAGTGCTCCCGCCACGTCGACGCGCGACTGCCTCATGATACGCGCATGGTCCAGGATGCACCCCGCCGCCTCCTTCTCCCAGTCCCAGTCCTCAAACACGCCTCCTGACTGCAGCAGGGGCATGGGAAGCACGGAAGTACAGCGTTGGGGGGGGAAGATGTGTATTTTGAGAGAATTTTTTACTGCTGTCTGGGTCGCAGTCCACAAACACACCACTGACTGCATGGGGGCACGGGAGATATGGGAAGTGTTCAAGTGAGGGGATGAGCGCGCCCGCCACGTCGACATGCGACTGCCTCATGATGCGCGCATGGTCCAGTATGCACCCCGCCGCCTCATTCTCCCAGTCCCAGTCCTCAAACACCCCGCGTGATTGCACAGCGGGGAGGGGGGCAAGGGAGGCATGGGGGGGCATGGGGAGACGCAAAGGAAGCATGGTAGTGAGTGAAGCACTGGGACAAAAAGGGCACGATGGAAGAGTCCCACTCCAGTCACCAAACACGCCACCTGACTGCACGGGGCTGAAACGTGGAAATCATACGATGCATGCAGAGATGCGTGAAGGAGAGGGGGGACGCAGTAAACCGGATTGTGTTGTGCAGTGCAGATACAGTACAGTACCGGGATGGGATGTGCTTACCTCAGTGTGCTTGGGGTGGAATTGTGAGGCAGCACGGCCATCGGAGAGTAGCAGGGCAGGGGCTTCAAGGGCGGAGGCGATGAGGCCGTTGAGGGGAGAGGTGTTGGTGCCATCGCGCATGGACGTGCCCTCTATCACACCACAAAGTCGTGGTGCCCGCTTGCACCGCTCGTACGCTGGTGGATGCAGGCGCGCAGGGGGGTGGGGGAAAGAAGGGGGTTATAGGAAACCACTGTACAGACAGTCTGTACCAATTGCATGGACGTGCCCTCTATCACCACAAAGCCATGGTGTCGCTGGCACCGCTCATATGCTGGTAGGCGCAGGCCGGGGCAGGGGGAAGGGGGTATGGGAAGAGGGGGGTATAGGAAGTAGTTGTGCCAATCGCATGGGAGTGGTCACGTGGCCTCTATTACCACAAAGTCATGATACCAGTTGAGAAGTGGAGTACGGGTGGAGGATGCTGGTGGATGGGAGGTGGAGTATGAAACGAGGGTTGCAGGCAGACAGCTGCTGATTGGAACAAGGCGCTAGGTCAGGGAGGAGTTTGAGCTGAAAATCTGGTCTCGACGAGTTTTGACCCGGCGTGATGGTTTCAAGACATCTGACCTGAAATTGCGGTTTCAAAGAGCTTTTACCTGAGATGATGGTTTCAAGACATCTGACCTGAAATTGCGGTTTCAAAGAGCTTTTACCTGAGATGATGGTTTCAAGGAGTTCGTCTGTCTTCTCAGACGTCAGCAGAGCATACGCCTGGTCCTGGGTGAGCCCGAACATGTCCTCCTGAGGCGTGCGCATGCGAAACACCTCGTGGAACAGTTCCGCGCGGTTACCACCATGCGAAGTCTGGTCGATTGGGCGAAAGTAACCCACGCCTGGCCGCAGAACCTGGGGGATCGGGTCAGGGCCCCAGGCCATCCATTCATCATCATCAGACAGGGAGTCCGTGTTTACTTCAGTCAATGCATAATTAGGACTATGGATAGCGCTCACCCATCAACGTTAAGGGCCATGGTGATTCTCGCCATCGATACTCGGGATCATAGTTCATATCATGGTTAGTTCACTTGATGCATAACCCAGACAATGGCTTTCGCTTACCTGCAGCGCGTGAATGAGTCCGATGCTGAGAGCGGCGGAGTTCAGAGGAGCACCCACGCTGCAGACAAGGATATGGCGCGGCGGAGAAGCGAGAAAGGGGGGGTTGTGAAGAATGACAGAGACGCATTCGCAAATCAGAGCGCGACGGAAGTACATTTTCCGACAGTAGTGTTCTTTGAGACAGAGCTCAGACAGAGTTCTACCTAACCGATAATCATGTGCGCACACGAAGCCAGTACGCTACTAGCTGACGGTAGCAGAAATTAACGGCGTTTGATTGAAACGGAATCGACGGTGCTCCAATGAGACAAAAACGACGATTTTCAATAAAGCCATCTAATTCTCTATAAAAGGGGAGGTCTCTCGAACGTACTCGGAGTGGTGGAGATAAATAGAGCCTTCGAATTGATGCGGTTTCTTGGAGTGCGACGCACCCACATTGCCAGGCGCGCTGCTTCTGCTCGAACCACTAATCGATCGGCTCCTCTGATCCCACGAACTTGGTCCCTTCGCTCGGTCACCAGCTCTCTCTTCTCTACCCACTCCGCTCGCGAAACTGCTCAAGCCTCGCGTGTGAGCAGCTGAAACGATCCGAGGACCTGCGCTAATTCCGTCAAGAGATCGGTGCAGACCGCGTGCTTCCGACGGCCCGACCGACGGGACCGTCTCGGGGAACACCTGCGCTTGCGATTGGTACTTTCGGCAGATATCGCTCCATCGGCCTCGCGCGGCGTTCCCTGACGAGGAGTTTAAGCTGCGGGTTTGGCCGTTGCGCGCTTTGCTAGCTTGCTGCACCAGCCGCTTCCCTAGCAATCGGAGCATGGCTCCCGGACTGCGATGTGTCTGTGTAACAGCCGAGTCTTTTGCGTTACAGTCTGCTAGCAATGCGTGGAAAGTTCGAAGGCCACGAGTTGACAATTGAGGGGAATTAAGACGATGCAGGCCAAGACGATGCTCGCCAAGGCTATTTCGTGTCTCTGCCAGAGTCAGAGACCAGGACAGGGCAGCAAGAGCAACCCTTGGGAGTATCGACTCTTGAGATGATCAAACTTCGCTGAGTATCAATGGCAATGGGTCAATGGGGTCCAAGAGAACCGTCCCTAGTAGAGCGCTAGCTGGAAGTTCTCAAGGGCTTGCTCCCCCTATCTTGTCTTCCCTTGAGCTTGTCAGACGAGGTTTCAAGAAGACCTTGATCCGTTTCAAGCAGCTCGGGTATTCTTCTCCCAGAGAATAGAAAAATAGACTACATAATTTGAGCATGGAGTACTTCAACGATTGGACAAATAAGCATTCAGGGATGCCCTTTGATTGGACATTCGGGCTACTGGCTGTGCTGCTTCGTTTTGCAAGATTCTTGGGGCTGACACCGAGAATCAAGGCACACGTCCGCCACGGGTCCAGCAACATCGGAAAATCAACGCCACGTCATGCCAGAAGAAGCATCTCCGATTTCCTTCCTACCTACCATCATGCATTTCCTCCTCCCTTCCCTGCTTGCCTGTGCTGGTTTGGTTCACCATCCCTGACTGAGGGCGTATCCCCGGGTGGTGGCAGGGCCACTGTAGATGGCAGAGTTGGTGGCATGCGGGAAACCGCATGCCACCAACATTTTTACCGAGGCGCGCGCGACTCGTATTTGGTGGCATTGAAGTGACATTTTTGGGGCATTGCCCAATCACGCACCTGTATTCGCGCGCCAAATTTCCTGACACCAACCTGGCGTTTTATGTGTTCGTGGCAGGCTGCCATCTACAGTGGCCCTGCCACCACCCAGGGATACGCCCTGAATCACACAACACTCACCGAACACATCATTCAGAAGATCTCACATCAGTTTCTGTTGTTCGAGTCAAATGTAGTCAGGCCAAGTCAGCCGCTGATCCCCAGAAATTGTTAAGAGTCCTCCGCTACCACCAATTCTTCCTAAATCTGCAGTCGCGTTTTGGTTTAGAGGCTCGCCAAGCGTCGTCAAATCATTCGCTTTCCTCGTGAAGCCTGACTGAGCATGGGCGAAGTCGAAGAACCGATCCTTGTGCTGAACGGCAGGGAGCTCGTCTCTCAAGTATGTCTCCTGCCTTGGTCTAACATGCGTCCTGATCCCTGGGAACCCAAGCGCCGTTCGGGAAAATCCGTTTCCCGCATTGCGAGTGATTGCTGGTGTATTATTCACCCTTTTCTTTGAGAGAGCATTGCAGCTGGTATGCACCTTCACGTTGGTTTAAGACTTTTTAGCGGAAACGATTTTCTTCGTCCCTCCATCTGCGCATGACTGAAGGTACGCGCTGTACGAATTCGCGGATGCGCTGAGGCGAAGCTGGCGGTGTCGGGGTCTGGTGGAGCAGATCGGCACTCCAAGGGCGTCATCACGCACAGGCCCTCGCCACCACCAACCGTCCTGAGGTCATCCGCCGTCACCTTCATCGCTTTCATTGCGAATTCGGGACCACCCTCAATCAAATCAAACCGCTCTGCCTCCCTCTGCACTCTTCAACCCCCTTCTTTCTCTTCAGCCACCTTTCTCGTTTATTCACTCATTCGCTCACTCCGATAAAGTGCATCTCTGTGTTTGTTTACCGGCTCTGTGTTCTAACCTTTAACCTAATACTCACTGTAACTCTCAATGCCTCACTGTAACCCTTCCTGTGTGACGTGCTTCAGAAAGCGGTGTTCAGCGACCACAAGGAGGCCATGTCGCACTGCGCTGAGCTGATGGGGATCAGCAAGGGCAAGCAGCGCCGTGACGGCAGTGGGGGCACAGAGCGGTGCACGGCGGTGAGGAGATCAACAAGTCGTGCATCATCACGGAGCACGTGAAGGACGTGCTCAAGAAGTTCACGCCGCTCGCCCCTTTGCACAAACCCTCCCAACCTCCAGGTACGGCCTTGAACCGCCTACACCGCACAGACCCTCACAGAACTGAACCGAACCCTCAGAACCGTCGTGCTAATGTGCTGGAGATGGACATAGCGATTGTGAAGTGCATGCAAGAATCAAATCACACACAGCCCATGACCAGATATGATCAGTTTGAAGGACAGGCAAAAACACACTCAGACTCCTAGTCTCGCAGCCACCCCAGCCCTTGCAAAGCACACATACCCACAATGCAGGCACACACAACACATCCTATATGACTGCGGTTGGTCCTGGCGTGACCATGTCTCGCCCCCCAAGGTTCCGTTTCTGCCTTCTTAAATCCTTGACCACCATACAGGGCATGGCGTGAGCGCAGGATGACTGGATGGCTGGATGGCTTGGATTTCTGGCTTCCCATCTCTATCCCCACCTCCTCCTGAACGCTTACTCCGCTTATGAGATTGATGGAGCTGCTGCATTGTTCGCATTCTACCTGATTCTTGTTGGGGTCCAACCACCATGCTCTGTACCTACTTAACCTGCCTGCAAAATCTAACCATCTCATCGCTCTTCCCCCCATTTCCCCTTCCTATGTCATCTCCCCACCCCACTCCTCCCTCTTCCCCCGCGCTGGCATGGGCAGGGCATGGCGGTGGCGCAGGAGCTGCTGGACCTGCCCGCAGGTGGTCCCCACCACCACATTCCCCCGACCTCATCTCCCCACCCACCCCCTCCTACCTCCCTCCCTGACTGGGCATCCCAAGGGCATGGCGGTGGCGCAGGAGCTGCTGGACTGTCCGCAAGGTGGCCCCCGCCCCACACCCAACCCACCCCCTCTCCCTCTGACTGCCATGGGCAGGGCATGGCGGTGGCGCAGGAGCTGCTGGACTGTCCGCAGGTGGCGGTGTTTGACACGGCGTTCCACAGCACCATCCCGCCGCAACGCCTACAACGTACGACCCTGCCCTACCGCCTCTACAAGGAGCTGGGCGTGCGGCGCTATACGGTTTTCATGGCACCAGCTACATGTACCTGCTCAGGGAGACGGCGAGGCAGCTGGGGAGAAGGAGAGCGAGATGAACATGATCACAGCTGCACCTGGGGGCCGGTGCGAGTATGGCGTGCATCAAGGAGTGAGTGGGACAGCAGTGCTGGAAATTATGGAGTTTCACTGTGGCGACTGGCCTGTGGTCGACTCTAACGAAGGAAAGAGAGGTGAACACGATCACGGCTGGGAGTCGGTGCCAGCATGGAGAGCGATCCCATGCATGCATCAGAAGATGCGTTCCTGCATGTTTTAAGTCCACTTTGAAGTTATCTCGAAGAGAGCGAGGTGAACACGATCACGCTGCACCTGGGGGGTGGGTGCGAGCATGGCATGCATCAAAGAAATGAGGTGGGTCAACAGATTCACGGACAATGGTTTCGTCTGTGTGGCTTGGCTCATTTCGTTCTTCGTTCTGTTCTTGTTCCACCCTTCTGGAATGAACCTCTTCTTACCACTGTTATTTCTCCCTGGTGCGTGCAGGGCAAGTGCATCGACACAACCATGGGAGTAACCCCCCTGGAGAGGCTCGTGATGGCCACTCGGTGCGGTGACATCGACCCAGCCATCCCCAAGATACCTTCTCAGGACCTCCAGGCCTCTCCCTGCTCAAATCGACTCTCTCCTCAACAAGGGTCCGCCTGGTGGGCATCTGTGGAGACAAGGACATGAAAGCAAGTCGTAGACCGCACCGGAGGTTGCTGAAGCTGCATGCATACCTGCAGGGGATGACCTGGAAGGGGGCGGCCCGGCACCGCTTGCTCTGGAGGTGTTTGTTCATCGCGTGAGGAAGTATCTGGGAGCGTATTTGGTCCAGCTGGGAGGGAAGGTGGACCTATTGTGTTCAGTGCAGGGATTGGGGAGAGATCGGCGCCAGTGCGGGCGCGGGTGTGTGCGGGATTGGAGGCGTTTGGGATGAGGTGGATAAGGCCGGAATGAGGAGGGGAACAAGGGAGCACGAGAGATTTCTGTGGCAGGGGCGAAGATAAAGGTGATGGTCGTGCCGACTGATGAGGACTGTGCATTGCGCAGGAACCCTGCGTGTGGTTGACGAGGCTCGCAAGGAAGATAGGACGGAAATGCGTGGCTTAGTTCAAACACTATTTCTCTCTCAGGTGGCATTATTTCGTCGCCCCCGGTAATTATATATACACATGCTAAAACTGGATTACTTTATTGACTAAGAAATAATTCTCTGTATGTCTCTCACATAATGTCTACAAATTTACATGCGCTTATAAGCCCGGCAGAAATCCATGACGTGGCAGCTAATGGTCCTTTGCCTTGGAAATTCCTCACCCGAATTCCCACTGCTGACTTTGAAACACCCGCCGTGTGTTATTCCGCCGTGACTCTGGTTGCTATGATCATATGCTGCTCCACTAGCGTCGAAGTCTGAAGTAGGAGCCATAATCCATCGCTCGCGCCAGAATCTCTGTCATCGTTCGCGGAGACGAGCAATTCTGGATAAGTGCGCGACCAAAGTGGTTGCTGTTTGGAACTCTCGACTTGGCCCAGATACGCTGATACGTCAGGAACCGCGAACGACGTTCGTCGTTCCATGTCAACCAGTATGAATTGGACGCGGGCCGATGCGTGCCGGCGCTGAGAGTCGCAGCCCTGTGCCTGCGCCAATCGATTGGTTCCCGCTCAGGCGATCCGGCGCCTCGGTGTCCCGCGTTGCGTGAAAGCATCGCCGGATGCACGCAGATAAAAACTGACGGCTGTAATCGATCGATTCATGGCTTCGGCCAGCAGCGGGCTCTCCGGAGACAGCTGGACCAATCATCGACAGTCCTTACACACGTGGCACCTGCTGATAGGCGGACGCCGCAATGTACGATGCTTGGCTTCGAGTGCACTGGCGACGGCGGAGCGACGGCTGGAGCCGAGTCAGCATTTGCGGACGTGGCAGCAGCTTCGTCAACTGAAGCAGTAGCTGACGTTGGAACAGACGAGTGAGCAGAAAGCGGAGAGCGGGGCTGCTGGGAGCGGCAAAAGCAGGCGCGGGGAGGCGCAAGGAGCGGCGGATGGTGAAAGGAGTTCAAGAAGCGGTTGAGAATCGCGGATATTAAGAACGGACCGAACGAAGGGATGGATCAGGTATGAATTGAGGGAGGTTTAATGGCATGAGAAGGTTGTAGGGGATACATATGGGGGTTTGCACGTGGAATGCTTGTGGGGCCTTGTATTTGTCTTGCATTATCCTCAGTTTGCTAGTCTTTGATGCATTTGTCTCAGTTTGGACACCATTGCACGATATGTTCTGCCAGTTAACTCTATTTCTCTGGGTTTTTCCTTATTAGCCTGATCGGATTCAGGTTGGGCGCCACGTGGAGCTCCGTGGTTGGGTGCGGACGGTGCGCTCTCAGAAGGCCTTCTCTTTCATTGAGGTGAGCGAGTGCATGAACATTCTTATGTGGTGTATCTGTAATGTAGTGTAATGTACTGTAATGTAGTGTATTTACTGTAATGTAAACGTATGTAATTTCGGATGTGAGTGGTAAAACGCCTGACAGTCCCAATCGCATGTCTCCCATCCCACTCCCAATATGCCGTTAACCCTCGGTCCTCTACGCCTCCTCACTCCTCCTCTTCTCCTTCGTCCCCGCATGCGGCCGGTTTCTTTCACACCACTCTCCCCTCCCCACCTGTTTCCCCACACCGGTTTCCCCCCTCCCCACCTGCGCCCTCCATCCGCTCATGACGGTTCCTCCCTTTCAGGCATTCAGGTGTGGCCACACCTGAGGTTGAAGGCTATCAGGAGGTAACAACAGAAGCTACCAGGAGGTAACAACAGAAGCTACCTGGAGGTAACAACAGAAGCTGCCTGGCAGGTAACCACAGAACTGCCAGGAGGTACAACAGGAAGGTAGCACAGAACGCTTTCAAGAAGAGGTAACAGCCAAAATAATCAGCAATGTCAATGAAGAGGCCACCAGGAGGTAGAAACAGTAGGCATCTGGAGACTTGACGCAAGTATACACAGCCTGGCAGGCAGTATAGCGTGGGCACCATGGTTAACTAGCCGTAGCCAACCGTGAAAACATTTCTTGTGGTATCTCTCCTGTCGTGGCTTGTGAGCTAGTGCTAGCTAGAGAAGAGCGACTTCACCAGTTCTCCTCACGTCCCAAGCTCCAAGCTCGCCTTGTTTGGCGCTCCAAGCTCGCCTTGTTGGCGCTCCAAGCTCGCCTTGTTGGCGCATCCAAGCTCGCCTTGTTGGCGCTCCAAGCTCGCCTTGTTGGCGCTCCAGCTCGCCTTGTTGGCGCTCCAAGCTCGTCTTGTTGGAAGCGCTCCAAAGCTCGCCTTGTTGGCGCTCCAAGCTCGCCTTGTTTGGCGCTCCAAGCTCGCCTTGTTGCGCTCCAAGCTCGCCTTGTTGGCGCTGCCAGCTCGCCTTGTTGGCGCTCCAAGCTCGCCTTGTTGGCGCTCCAAGCTCGCCTTGTTGGCGCTACCAAGCTCGCCTTGTTGGAGCGTGCACTCCAAGCTCGCCTTGTTGGCGCTCCAAGCTCGCCTTGTTGGCGCTCCAAGCTCACCTTGTTGGCGCTCCAAGCTCGCCTTGTTGGCGCTCCAAGCTCGCCTTGTTGGCGCTCCAAGCTCCATCCATGCCATCTCCTTTCTTGCTCCGTCTCCTTTCAGTTCCGCTCCCTGCTCTTGCTCCTTGCCTGCTCTTGCTCCATGCCTGCTCTTGCTCCATGCCTGCTCTTGCTCCATGCCTGCTCTTGCTCCATGCCTGCTCGTCCTCTCCCTCACGGTCTTCCCACCAGGTGGAGGGGGGTGGCATCACCACAGGGGCAGCGGTGTCAGTGGAGGGAGAGGTGGTGGAGAGTCAGGGCAAGGGCCAGAAGATTGAGATCAAGGCTAAAAGACTCACGCTAGTACGTGCCTGGTACTTTTTGCACTTATTCTCACTCTGATATAAGTACCTTGCATGTAGGCTAGGCATTACCACCATATGTTTCAGTGGAGGTACTGTATTCAGCCCTTACCTGTCTGATGTGTGGTGGATGACTTTTGAGACGGGGGTATTGTATTGGAGGTACTGGATTCAGCCAGTTCCCCATCAAAAGCTGTTTCAATGGGGGTACTGTATTCAGCCCTTCCCTGTCTGATGTGTGGATGGGTGTATCTTCTCAGCACCGTGCATGAAAACGCCTCACGCTCACTCTGGCCTGGCTGAATAAGCCTTCCTTCTGCCTTGTCAGCAATCCTATTTCCTGCTGTCAACTCCTTCCTATGCGCGGCTTATTCTGTTGACTTTTGTCCATGTTAATTTGTTCCCCTGCACTCTTGTTTCCTCTCCTCCCCTTTCGTGCAGGTGGGGTGGCAGCGATGGCAGCACGTACCCTCTGCAAAAGAAGAAGAGAGTTTTGAGACGTGCTGCCATCGCTACTGCCCCTCTCAAGACTCTTCTTCTTTCACGTGTTCCTCTCCTCCTCTATCGTGCGGTGGCGGCAGTGATGGCAGCACGTACCACCCTGCAAAGAACCGCACTCCTTGGAGTATCTTCTTCGCACCATAGCTCACCTGAGACCTCGCACCAACACCATTGGCGCTGTGAGTTGACCATGTTTAGACGGGAAGATAAGAAGCGCCTTGAAGTACGCGGCATGGTTTGGAGTATCTTATGCACCGCATCGCACGTTAGACCATTCACCAACACCAGATCACATCCCACTGCTGGCTGCTACTATCACATCCAAACCCACCCTGTTACACATCCCACTGCTGGCTGCTACTATCACATCCAAACCCACCCCTGTTCACATCCACTGCTGGCTGCTACTATCACATCCAAACCCACCCCTGTTCACATCCCACTGCTGGCTGCTACTATCACATCCAAACCCACCCCTGTTCACATCCCACTGCTGGCTGCTACTATCACATCCAAACCCACCCCTGTTTCACATCCCACTGCTGGCTGCTACTATCACAATCCAAAACCCACGCCCTGTTCACATCCCACTGCTGGCTGCTACTATCGACATCCAAACCCACCCCTGTTCACATCCCACTGCTGGCTGCTGCTATCACATCCAAACCCAACCCCTGTTCACATCCCACTGCTGGCTGCTGCTATCACATCCAAACCCACCCCTGTTCACATCCCACTGCTGGCTGCTAACTATCACATCCAACCCACCCCTGTTCACATCCCACTGCTGGCTGCTACTATCACATCCAAACCCACCCCTGTTCACATCCCACTGCTGGCTGCTACTATCACATCCAAACCCAGCCCCTGTTCCACATCCCACTGCTGGCTGCTACTATCACATCCAAACCCACCCCTGTTCACATCCCACTGCTGGCTGCTACTATCACATTCCACTCCGTGTGGTGTCCTTGAGTACAACTGCGCAGTGCTCTGGCCCAGACCTACCACCGCTTGTTCCAGTCACAATGCCTTTGTGTGTGGTGGCAATGGCGGTTGTCTTTCCTTATTACCTTTCCGCGCATCCCACCCCTCTCCCTCGCACTGCAGGTGTCCCCGGGTGCGCAGTGCCTTGGCACAGGCAATCGCACCGCTTCTTCCAGTCGCACGGATTCGTGTGGGGTGGCATCGCCCATCATCACTGCCTCTGACTGGTGAAGGGGCGGGCGACCAGTTCCGAGTCACCACGCTGGTGGGTGTGTGGGGTGGAGTTTGTGTGTGTGGGTGCAGAGGGATTGGTGCACGTGTCTGGTGGGGTGGGTGGGGGTGGGAGTTTGTGTGTGTGGGGGCAGAGGGAAAGGTGCACGTGTGTGGTGGAAGGGGCGGGTGGTGGGTGGGTGGCCCATCATCACGGCATCCGACTGCCAAGGGCTGGGGATCACTTCCGAGTCACCACGCTGGGTGGTGTGCATGGGCGGTTGGGTATGCTGTGCTGTGCTGTGCTGTGCTGTGCTGTGCGGCCATGGCTGTGGTAGACCATGACAAGGAGTTGACCAGCCATGGTCAAGTGATGCCCTTTCTCTTCACCCATCCCTGTTCCTGTCCGCACTTTTGATACGTCAAAAAAAAAGAACTTTCCTGCTCTCTATCCCCCGTAATGTAGAGATGAATGGTGAATCTCATGCCTGCCCTTTCCTCCTCTCCGCATCAACATCCCCTTCATGCCCCCCTTTCTCTCTATCCCTGTGCTTCGAGTCGACTCAAAATCTCTCCCCCTCGCTCTATCCCTATGACCATCTTTTCCCATTACATTTCGATTCCTGCAGATACCAGGCACCCCTGATGCATCCACGCCAGTGAAGGCCATCCCCACCAACAAGGACGGATCCGTGGACTGGTCTCAGGTGAAGTGACGTGGCTCCGATGAATGACGTGGCACAGGTGAATGACGTGGCCCAGGTGAATGACGTGGCACAGGTGAATGACGTGGCACAGGTGTATGACATGGCACAGGTAAATGACGTGGCACAGGTGAATGACGTGGCACATGTTAATGACGTGGCACAGGTGAATGACGTGGCACAGGTGAATGACGTGGCACAGGTTATGACGTGCCACAGAAATGCGTAATGTCCATGAAGTCAGGGGACCTAGGTGAGCGCGAAGTGTAGGAACATACATAGTACCATTGCTACTGTGACATTGCCGTCCTCCTTGTAGATTCAGTCAGAGGCAGTGCAAACAATGTGGAAAGAGTGCAGAGCAGGACAGTGCATACTCTACCTGACTGTGGCATCCTGCGTCTTGATTTGTCTCTGCATCTTACTGTACCGCATTAGTACCGCGCGTGTGCTTGTGTGTGCATGCATGCCGCAGGATTTCTTCAAGCGCCCGGCGTACCTCACAGTGTCGGGGCAGCTGAATGCGGAGATCTATGCCTGCGCCCTGCACGATGTGAGTGAGACAATATGCTCCTTAGCCTGCTCGTCCCTCCCTCCGTCCTCCTGCATTATTTTCAGGCCCCTTAGAAAAAATACTGTCGCATAGCTCACAGTGTGTCAGCCCAGCTGAAAGTGGAAATGCACTCGTGTGCCCTGCACAGTTTGGCGTCCCTCAAAACGCTCTTCCTCTTTCCTCCACGCCTCTCCTCTCCTCCCCACACCCCTCCCCTCCACGCCTCTCCCAACCACCCCCTGTCCCCAGGTGTACACGTTCGGTCCCACCTTCCGAGCAGAGAACTCCAACACCTCGCGCCACCTCGCCGAGTTCTGGGTATGCCTCGCTGTGTTTCGGTCGGGTTGGGTATGCCTTTTGAGGCGCCTCAAAAGTCGCCGAGTTCTGGGTATGCCTTGTCCAGGGTTGGGAGTGCCTTGTCCGGGTTGGGAGTGCTTGTCCAGGGTTGGTGTTGTCCAGGTTGGGAGTGCCTGTCCAGGTGCCTTGTCCAGGGTTGGGAGTGCCTCATTCCCAACCAACAATGGGAGTGCCTCATTCCCAACCAAACAATGGGAGTGCCTCATTCCCAACCAAACAATGGGAGTGCCTCATTCCCAACCAAACAATGGGAGTGCCTCATTCCCAACCAAACAATGGGAGTGCCTCATTCCCAACCAAACAATGGGAGTGCCTCATTCCCAACCAAACAATGGGAGTGCCTCATTCCCAACCAAACAATGGGAGTGCCTCATTCCCACCACCAATGGGAGTGCCTCATTCCAACCAAACAATGGGAGTGCCTCATTCCCAACCAAACAATGGGAGTGCCTCATTCCCAACCAAACAATGGGAGTGCCTCATTCCCACCCAAACAATGGGAGTGCCTCATTCCCAACCAAACAATGGGAGTGCCTCATTCCCAACCAAACAATGGGAGTGCCTCATTCCCAACAAACAATGGGAGTGCCTCCTTCCCAACCAAACAATGGGAGTGCCTCATGGAATCGGGTTCTTTAGTCACCATTTTGCTCCGACCATCTTTCCCGGTCGCCCAACCAAACCACCTCGAATCGGCTCCCCCAACTTACCCTTCCCTATCCATTTTGAGAATTCTCAAAAGTGATTCCCTATCCATTTTCACTCACCCCTCCCTCCTTACTCGCATCACTTCCCGTCCCTTTCCTCATCCTCATCCTCGTCCTCGTCCCTTCAGATGATCGAGCCTGAGCTGGCATTTGCTGACCTGGCAGATGACATGGCATGCGCCACGGCATACCTCAAGTAACATTGTGAGCACACCATGCATGCACGCACCTACAACGCACGTACGCAAATGCGCACGATGCCACATGCACTGATGCACCCATGCACACAATGAACATGAAATCTGTACTAGCTTTCCAAGTTTAGGGTGGGTGAAGAAGGATAAGAAGGAGGTTATACTCGCTATGCCGCCTCTGCTAGCTTGCCCTTTCCTCACAATCCTCCTCCCTTTCAACCCTTTCCTCTTTTCTCTCTCCTCCATCTCCACCCCCTCCCCTCCTCTCCCTTTCTCTCCTCTTCCAGCTTCAGGAGGGGCCATGAGCGAGTGTGCGGAGGACTTCAGGTATCCCTACTCTGCCCTTTCCTCATGCCCCTCCTCCTCACCCTTTCATTCCTCTTCTCCTTTCGCCCTCTCCCCTCTTCGCCTTTCTCTCTCCTCTTCCAGCTCCAAGAAGCCATGAGCGAGTGTGCGGAGGACTTCAGAGTTCTTTGACAAGTTTGTCGAGCCGGGGATCATCCAACGGCTCACGGTGAGCGGAATCAGATGGCGCCCCCGCCCTTAGCTGTGCCACCTCTGTCTAGGTGGCATGGCATGCAACCCCTACCTCTCTACTTCACACTCCTTGTTCCCTCTTTCCCCCAGTCTCCTTATTGAATGCGTTCACTAACCTCCACAGCTGTTCTCTCCCTTCGCCCGCTCTGCTTCCCTGTGTTTCTTTCTTATCGTCAGGTTGTCCAGGTAGTTTTTGAGAATTCTCAAAAGCCTGTTCTTTCTTATCGTCAGGTTGCAGCCTTCATGGCTGACTTGCTGCAAACCAAATCCCCCCCCCCTTGCTGTGTTCTTTCCGTGTGCCCCGTTCCCCCACCTCCATTTCTACGTGTCCCAATCATTTCTCTAGTCGGTGGTGGAGAGTGAGTTTGAGCATGTGCCCTACACAGAGCCATCAACATCCTCACAAGGCTAAGACCAAGTTTGACTCAGTATGCATGCATCTATTTCCCTCGTGATCCCTGCTCCCTGTGTGCCCATCTCCCCATTCCCCAGTCGGTGGTGGAGATTGAGTTTGAGCATGTGCCCTACACAGATGCCATCAGCATTCTCAAGAAGTCTAAGACCAGTTTGACTACCCGGTCAGTGGGTTGTCAAAAAATTTCGATTTGGAATCTCTTCTACATGTGGCATCGTTCCTGCTCACATGTGTGTATGTATTCCATATGTCCAGATGCCATGTTCCCGCATGCCTATGCTTTACACGCATCGTTTCTCGTGCCTGTGCTCGCCCTCGTTTGGCATGCATGCATGCATGCATGTGTGCAGGTGGAGTGGGGGCATTGACCTGCAGAGCGAGCACGAGAGGTACCTCACAGAGAAGGCCTTCAAGAACCGTCCATCATTGTCACTGACTACCCCAAGGTAAGCGACACGTTAGAAACGTCTCAGACTATTCTTGAGTCGATTACACAATTCACCGCAAGGCGGAGAGGACGAATTTTGAGACGACTCAAAGGAGGTACCTCACAGAGAAGGCCTTCAAGACCGACCCATCATCGTCACCCCGGCTACCCCAAGGTGAGAACCCACCGAGTACCCCTAAGGTAACAAATCACGGACTAGCCCTAAGGTAGTATGTGCCGACTCAGCTAGACTTGTTTTCTGTGACAAGTCACCTTTGAGACGTCCCGACTGAGGTACCTCACAGAGAACGCATTCAAGAACCAACCAACCCATCAGTGCCACACGACTACCCCAATCGTAAGCATGCATGCCCCTGCATCCTCCCCCCTCTCTCACCATTTTTCCTGCATCCCCCATTTCGGCCTCAACACCCCGCACATGTCAGGACATCAAGGCGTTTTATATGCGGCTCAACGATGATGGCAAGACCGTACCCGGTGATGCAATGATGCAGCACATCCCCCCCGACTCCCACCCACCGCCTTCTCTTCCCTGTGGCTTACTGCCCTCTCCCCCCCCTTTTCTCGACCCCACCCCCGCACATGGTCAGCACATCAAGGGGTTTTATGTGCGGCTCAACGATGATGTGATGGCACGACCATAACTCCCGCTCTTTGATGGAAGCCGCACTCCCCTCGCCCTCTTTCCCCGTGCTTACTGCTCTCCAGTTACCCCCCCCCCTCCCCCCCACACATGGTCAGGGACATCAAGGCATACTACATGCAACTCAACGATGACAGCTACGACCGTAACTTAGCGATGCACCGGCACATCCCCCGGGGGCCCTCACTTCCTCGTGATTACAGCTCTCCCATCTTACCCCTCGTCCCCCCCTCTACCTCCCCCTTCTTGCACATGCGTCAGGGCATCAAGGCGTTCGAACATGCATGCCACTCACACTGATTCTTTCCAGCGATCATTATGCCATCTGCTTTTCACCATTGTCAATCTCTCTCCTACCCTCTCTCCCACCCCTCTCTCCCACCGCTCTCTCCCACCCACTCTCTCCAGGACATCAAGGCATTCTACATGCGACTCATACATGGCAAGACCGTTGCAGCCATGGATTGTGCTCGTGCCGCGGGTGGGGAGTTGATAGGCGGCAGTCAGAGGGAGGGAGGCGGCTGGAGGTGCTGGAGGGTCGCATGAGGGACTGGGGCTCGACCCGCAGGCCTACTGGTGGTGTACCGTCGACCTCCGCCGATACGGCTCAAGTGGGTACAGTGCGTTCAGGTGGGTTTGATGCGGTTCAGGTGGGCTCGATGCGGTTCAAGTAGGTGTGCTGATAGCGGCAGTCAGAGGGGAGGAGCGCTGGAGGTGCTGGAGGGGCGCATGAGGGACGTGGGGCTTGACCCCCAGGACTACTGGTGGTACCTCGACTCCGCCGATACGGCTCAGGTGGGGTACGTGCGGTTCAGGTGGGATGGAGGGGACTTGAGTGTTCTAGTGTGCCTGAGCCAGACAAGTCCCCTTCTTCCCTTTCGTCCTCCACTCCATGCAACCCTCATGCAGGGTTATGGTCTGGGCTTTAAGAATCTGATCTTGTGCAGCTTGAAACCAATGGTTGAGTTGACCCCGACCTCACATCTACCAGCGGCTGGAGCTGCTGCTGGAGGGGCGCATGAAAGAGACATGGCCCATTCCGTCTGTGCCTCCTCCCCTCAATTTTCCCTCAATCCCCCCTTTACGCCCCTCGCGCCCCTTCTTCCCCTTCTCTCAAGCAGCCTTTCATGCGGGCTTTGCTCTGGGCTTTGCTCTGTGCTTTGCTCTGAGCTTTACTCTGGGCTTTGCTCTGGCTTTGCTCTGGCTTTGCTCTGGGCTTTGCTCTGGGCTTTGGCGTCTGGTGTGGTTTTGCTTTGACGGGTGATTCGGCCACACATTCCGTTCGCCTCTCCATTTATCCTTCGTGAATGTCCACTCTCCCCCCTCAATCACCCTAAATTCTCCCTCCCCTCCCCCCCCCCCCCCCCCTCCCCACCCACCCCCAACCCACCCCTGTGCACCTCCTCTTTCTTCCCCTTCTCCAGCAAGTCCCCCATGGCGGGGTTCGGGCTGGGCTTTGAGCGGCTGGTGCAGTTTTGCAACGGGCGTTGAGAACATCCGCGATGCCCATCAGCCCTTCCTCGCGTGCCTGGATCCGCTGACTTTGATTTAGGCATAACCGCAGAGTAGGTGTAGGAGCAAGCTGCTGAAGGGCATGGTTTAGAGTGGGGATCTACACCACAGCACCTGAGAGAGTGTATACAGGTGGCCCTTACAGTCTCCCTCTTGCGATCACTTGCTTCTTTTGTCCGTCACGCACCGAATATATTCGGTGAGGTCAGGCCACCGCCACCAGCCTTCTTAGTGCAACTGGCTATGGATGTTACTGCGCTTAGCACCACATCCAGACGCCGACTCCAGCTACCCGCTTTACTCGCTGGACAAGCATGCAGGCAGATCACATAGTAGCACGATAAAAAGCATTCCACTCATACCTTCAAACAGCTCTCACAAAATATGAATTTTTTCGAAAGTGTGTAACACTTTCTAAAAATGTGTATTGTGCAAGCGCAGCTGCCTGTAACGAAGCAAAGCAACGGCGAATTACAATTCGCCGAGTACATAACGAGAGTTGGAGGCCATTCGGCTCCACCCACGACTTCATTTCAGAACTTTGCAGTTTCACCTCCAATTCTCGTCCAACCACCTCGAAGCCGTTTCCTTGTCGCTAGAAACTAGCCTTCTAAGCTAATACTCACTTGCACGTTCAACCCAGGCGCTTGATTTTCCATGAAGGGGCAAACTATCACGAGTGCGACTGCTAACTAGCGGGCGCTCAACTGAGATCGAAGTGCGTCGGTACAAAACGCCAACAGGCGCGCCAGAGACGAAATCGCCAGTGGCGCGCGCTAGGGACAAAATTGCCAATGGCCCAGTGGCGCACGATGGGACGAATCGCAACTGGCGCCAATGGCGCGCACCAGGGATGAAATCGACACTGGCGCCAGTGGCGCGCTCCAGGGACGACAATCGCCACTGGCGCAATTGCCGCGCGCCAGGGACGAAATCGCCACATGCGCGCATGTGGCGAAAATTACCACATGCGCCAGTGGCAAAAATCGCCACCAAGCGCTCGAGGGAACGAAATGGCCGCTGGAGCGGCAGTTACGAAATTGCTACTGCAGCGCCTAAAGTCGTTCGACTGGGCGTCATTTGTTGCCTACGTGCTGCAAGTCTTTTAAGTTTAAAGTTTTCTTCTGATATGATCTCTTCGATTATTTTCCATTAATCTCTATGCTCCTATTGTTACTTGGTGGCAGAAAAATAGGCTCAACACCACGGGTGCGGAAAACACTTTTAAAGACTCTACTGGTCGCATGAGCGGGAGAACTACATTTACGACAGGATCAACTCAACGCGCACCCAAGGACGTCTCCCAATAAAAAGAAGGGACCGAGGGTCTTCGTGTGCCTGAGAGCCGTCCCCCCAGGGGAGGGAAGGGGACCGAGGGTCCCCGTGTGGCCTGAGAGCCGTCCCCCAGGGGGGGAAGGAGACCGAGGGTCCCCGTGTGGCCTGAGAGCCGTCCCCCAAAGGGGGGGAAGAGGACCGAGGGTCCCCGTGTGGGCCTGAGAGCCGTCCCCCAGGGGGGGGAAGGGGACCGAGGGTCCCCGTGTGGCCTGAGAGCCGTCCCCAGGGGGGGAAGGGGACCCGAGGGTCCCCCTGTGGCCTGAGAGCCGTCCCCCAGGGGGGGGATGGGGACCGAGGGTGCCCCGTGTGGCCTGAGAGCCGTCCCCAGGGGGGCAAGGGGACCGAGGGCCCCGTGTGGCCTGAGAACCGTCCCCCAGGGGGGGAAGGGGACCGAGGGTCCCCGTGTGGCCTGAGAGCCGTCCCCCAGGGGAGGGAAGGGGACCGAGGGTCCTAGCGTGGCCTGAGAGCCGTCCCCCAGGGGGAAGAGACTCGAAGGTCCCACACGTTGGCCTTACCGTAAAATGGGCAAAAATTTCGAACCAATGTGCTCGCTTGTATGACTGGATCATCCTTGGTTTTTGATGTACCCCATTTACTTTTTAATGTACCAATAAAGGCCTGGTTGGAGCCCCACTGAAATCTCGGGAAGCAACTGTTCAAGTGCACCTCAAGTTGGTTTTAAAATCTTGACTTGACTCCAGTTGGTGTTCACACACTTTTAAACCACATTCCGTGTTCTTCCAAATAAGGGCAATGACATGGGATCGGTTTTCGCCATCATTCTCATCCCACTTTGTTCGATAACACCCGACAGAGGAAGCAAAAGCACACGTTGAAACGACTTGCATGCTGTCACCTGAATGGGCGTTTGGGAGTAAAAAGGCAGCAATTGTGTGACCGTTCCTACCCAACCAACATGACGAATACCACACTCACCCGAGTACCACTTCAAACCCTTACATCCACCCACGTTGTAGTTATTCCGGCCGAACATCAAACGACTGGAAGTGTAGGGTAAAGCAGAGCACATGGAAGCTAAATCCCAAGATAAAAGTTGTACCGTACATTGGGCGTGTAGAGTACGGGAACCACCAGTTTCAACCACTATCCTGGTACGGGAACAACCAGTTTCAACAACCAGGGACATCCACATCAACAGCACGAGCAACCTTCGCGCACAGCACCTCGGACGCCATCGACATGGAGCCCACGACTCACCAACGCCGCCCCTCCCGGCATTTCGTCAATGTCATCAACCGCAACTACACTCACCAAGTTTTCAACGCTCCAGCTGCACATGTCTCAGAAGACCCAATTGTAATGAAGCCAGTTGCCTTTGCAAGAACAGAAAGCAAGCTTTCTCAATATGATTTTTTCGAAAGTGTGTAACACTTTCTAAAAATGTGTATTGTGAAAGCGCAGCTGCCTGTAACGAAGCAAAGCAACGGCGAATTACAATTCGCCGAGTACATAACGAGAGTTGGAGGCCATTCGGCCTCCACCCACGACTTCATTTCAGAACTTTGCAGTTTCACTCCCCACCTACCCGCCCTAGTTGTACCAATATTTGTATGATCCATAGTTGGACGAGAATGTTGTATTACTGCAATTGTAATGAAGCCAGTTGCCTTGCAAGAACAGAAAGCAAGCTTTCTCAAAATGGAGATTGAGAGGTTGTGTCCACAAAGTATGTTTTTAGTATGTTAGCAATCCATACCACAAAGTATGCAATGCAACAACAAAACTGGTACAACACTGAAAGCTGTGATTGGGTTTCAGATCATGGCGACCCACATGTCCAGTACACCTAACCACCGCTATTTTCTTTTGGTCTATTTTCAACCCCACTTGCGCAAGTGGGTATACACCGTTTCTGGAATCTTCGACCGAGGGTTGTGTGGGCGTCAGAAATTTCACACCTCTTTCACAGTGAGTTAGTTCTTGACCCCCAAAGGAGTAGAAGTGGCACAAGGGAATTCGCAACAGCAAGAGTGCCCCTTCACACAGAGCGGTAATAGTCTCAGACTAGCTTTCATGCGTTTCTTAACATTGAAAATCGGGGTGCTCTTAGAAACTAGGAAGCAATGTGGACTATCGAGATGATTTTAGTACAAGAAAGGAAACCTAAGGGGGTGTACCCCACAATATCTACCCCACTACGGCCTACCCAAAACTATAACACATATATATGTATATATGTTTGACATACCCCATAAGCAAAGTGGGGGAGAGCAAGAGGTCACAAGACCAGTCAAGAGAAAGCAAAACAAGCTCAGGGTGGATCACAATGTCACCACACACACTGAGCACAAGCAAACGGCCCCAAGGCTAGTTCACATGCAGAGGTATACATGCAACAAGAACAGTACAGTCATCTCTACCTAGCAAGAGTAAGCATGCAGATATGTACATATATATAGATCACAGTACAAGCTGAGACTACAGCAAGAATGGAAACGAAGGTACAAGGCCCAATAAAGTACAAAAGCGCTGATGGTCACCAGACGGAAGTGCCTTGGTGAATATATCAGCAGTGTTGGCCCGAGTGGTCACGTGAGCAAGACGAAGCTGACCACGCTGCTGCAACTCTCGAGCCAGGAAGTAGCGCAAAGCAATGTGCTTCGTTATGTGCTCCAGTCTGTGCTCCTGACACAAGGCAATGGCGGCCTTGTTGTCGACGTACAGGACTGGAGGAGAACGAGGCCGCTCTCCCAGGTCGGTCAGCAGGTAGGTGAGCCAGCGTAACTCCTGTGCAGCCCTGGCTGTGGCGTAGATCTCAGCCTCACAACTGGAGCTGAGAACTGAAGACGAGCGTGTAGAACGCCAAGAAACTTAACGAGAGTCAAGGCTGAAGACGTAACCCTGTGACGACCGCTGCGTAGCCTGGTCGTCAACCCAAGAAGCGTTTGAGTGACCAGTGAAAACAATGCCGCCCCGTCCTCCAAGCACGAGCCCCATGTCGATGTACTGCACAAGTAGCGCAGTACCCTCTTCGCAGCATCCATGTGCACCTTTCAGTGCCGACCAGGAGCCACGTAGCGAGCCACAAGGCCAAGAGGGTACGCGAGGTCAGGACGAGTGCAGGTCATCAGGTACATGAGGCAGCCAACTAGCTCTAGGTAAAGACCACTCGGCTCTACGGACTCGTCCGAAGGTGGAGCTGAGAGCGAGTAACCTGTAGCCAGAGGAGTGGTCTGTGCCAAGGACCAGGTCAAGCCGAAGGGCTGAAGGACCTGCTGCACCATGTGTGACTGAGTCAGGGTGATGGTGCGGCGTGCTCTGTCCCGGGTGATCTGCAAGCCAAGGTAACTGCGCAGCTCACCCAGGTCTGTGCACGTCTGCCTCTTCTCCAGCTCCGACTTCACCAGGGCGAGAGCCTCAGTGTCAGCGGTGGCAAAGACCAAGTCGTCGACGTACACTAGGATGTAGAACGGCGGCAGCGAAGTGTCGGTGCGCAGAAACAGCGAGGGGTCAGCAGTCGACGGAGTAAACCGAAGAGCTGCAAGTGTCGTCCTCAGTGAGTCGTGCCACTCGCGTGGCGCCTGGCGGAGACTGTAGACCGGGCCGCCGAGGCTCCACTGGGTACCACGAGGGAACAACCTAGTGAAGCCAGGCGGGCAGTGCAGCCAGATCTCCTCGTGCAGGCTGCCCTGTAAGAAAGTTGTGCTGAAGTCAAGAGAGTGAAGCTCGTAGTCACGCTGAGCGGCAATGTGCAGCAGCACCCAAAGAGTGGTCATCTTCGAGGTGGGGGAGAAGGTCTGGAAGAAGTCAACTCCCTCTCACTGACTAAAGCCTCGAGCAACGTAACGGGCCTTGAAGACAGGCGGAGAACCTGGCGGTTGCTTCACCCCGAAAATCCACATGCCGTCGACGATGTTCGCCCCGGGAGGGGGAACCTCATCGACGTACGTGCCTGTGGACTTCCAGGATGCCATCTCTGCGTCCATGGCTGTCTGCCACTAAGAAGAGTACTCACCCGCGATCGCCTCAGCGTAAGAGCGCGGGGTCGGGATGTCTGGTGCATCCGGGTCTCCCTCAGGGGCAAGCAGCATGGCCACGAGATGAGGCGCAGCGGCCGCAAGACACTCAAGGTCCTCGTGCCTGTCCTCAAGGACGTCCGTGCTAGAGCAGACTCACCCCCGACGGACGGAGGAAAGACAGACTCAGACTCAGCAACAAGACTAGCAGCGTAGTCTATACGACACGCAGCAGCAAAGTCGACAAGCTTAGCGACGAGGGCAGACGCAGCAGTGGACTCAAACGATGGGTCAGTGACTACAGTGGCTAACAGACGCGTGACAGTAGGGTGCTCAGTACGGAACTGGTCAGACTCATGGTCCGCAACGTCAGGCAGAGAGGACGCAGGGGGAGACGGCAGAGGAACACGCGGCGGAGGAGAGAAAGGACGACGGACTACAAGGTGGGTGCCGGGGACACCCGGCTGACGCTGACGAGGAACACGACGACCGGAACGACCAGAACGGACAGGCGAGACAGGATGCGACGCAAGCTCACGACGCTCAGCAAGGCCCCCTGTCTGCTCAGTGTACGGAGAAGGAGCACGCAGCAGTGAGTCAGGCTGCAATAGAAGACCAGTAGACGAAGGGAGACTGAGAACCTAGCGAAGCGCATAGTCAGGCGGTGGCTGAGACTACGGGAAGGGCGGAGCGAAGAACAGGCGCGGCTGTGCAGTGCCACCAGCACTAGTAGCTCTAGCACCTCCAACAGCTCCAATACCCTCAGCAGCTCCAGCACCTCCAACAGCTCCAGAACCCTCAGTGCCAGCTCCTCCAGGACCAGCTCCACCAGCTGCAGCACCCCAAGAACCGGCACCTCCAGTCCCAGGGTCTCCACCCTCAGTGCCTCCAGCAGCAGCACCCCCAGACCCAGGGTCTCCAGCAGTAGCACCCTCAGACACAGCACCTCCAGCCCCAGCAACTCCAGTACCTCCAGTACGAGCACCTCCGGGACCAGCGACTCCAGCACCTCCAGTAGACAAAGGACCAGCACCACTCCTAGCTCTAGGGACGTCAGCAGAAGTACGTCCAGCAGCAGAACCCCGAGCTCCAGAAGCGCGACCCTGACGGCGACCGTACCCGTCGTGCAACTGCTGTGAGGTGAGAGGCACACGCGGACGAAGACGTCTACTCCAAGGAGACCACGTAACAGCAGTCTCAGAACCCTCAGGCGTCGCACCCCCAGACTCAGCACCCCCAGGCTCCTCACACGCAGCACCCCCAGGCTCAGGACCTCCAGGCTCCTCACGCGCAGGCTCAGCACCTCCAGGCTCTGCACCCTCAGGCTCCTCACGACCCGGCTCAGTGCCCCCAGACTCCGCACCCCAGTCTCAGCACCTCCTGGGTCCTCACGTTCAGGCTCCGCACCCCCAGACTCAACACCCCCACGCTCCGCACCCCCAAGCTCCGCACCCCCAAACTCCGTACCCCCAGGGACAGCACCACCCCCAAGCAGGACCTGAGTCACCAGTGACCTCAACAAGAGCAGGTACGGAAGGGTCCACCTGAGAGACACCTGAAGGAGCAGGACCTGGCGCGGGGAGGGGGTCTACCTGGGGAGGTCCTGGGGCGAGAAAGAGCGGTGGGGGGGGGCGAGGGGCAGTGCGGTAGGGAAAGAGACGGTAAAAGGGGACGGACTTGTCAAAGGTGACGTCCTGAGACGCAATGATACGACGCGTGGCTGGGTCGTAGAACTGCCAGCCAGGCGCGTCAGGGACAAAGCCAAGGAAGACGCAGGGAATGGCGCGAGGGGAGAGCTTGTCCGCGGTGGTATCGCGGACAAAGGCACGAGCACCCCAGACCCGGAAACGCGACGCATCGCCAACCTTCCCCGTCCACAGCAGTGTGGGCGAGGTCTCCGGCAAGGAGACACGGGGCCAGAGGTTGAGCTGATGCATGGCGTACCGGACCGCAAACGGCCACAGAAAATGGGGGGCAACCGCATGGATCATGGAGGTACGAGCGACCTCCATGACTAAGCCAATGCGGCGCTCAGCAACCCCATTCTGCTGCGGAGAGGCCGGAAGCGTGAACGTCTGGCAGATGCCGTGCTCCGCACAGAAGGCCGCCAAGAGGTCTGAGGAGAACTCACCACCTTTGTTGGAGTGCAGACGCAGGACAGGAAAGTCCGACTGGAACCGCTCACAGAGCTGGAGACGAACAGCGCGGATCCAGGGGATCAAAACATCAGGGACCTCCCCCTTGCGTTGCAAGGGGAAGACCGTGGTGTAACGCGTGTAGTCGTCGACGACCAGTAGGAAGTAGCGCTCGTGGCCCTGTCCACGGACGCGGGCTGGGCCCCACACGTCCAGGTGGAGAGTGTGCAGTGGAGCCTCTGTGAGAGGGAACGAGGAGGAGTGAGGAGCGGCGCGCTGCCGCCCCTCGACGCAAGGAATGCAGGGCAGCGCAGGCGAGGGAGGGAGCGCAGGTAGGGACCTGGGAAGGCCAGAGACCAGGAAGCGAGAGTGCATGCTACGAAGGCGAGGCAGGGAGGGGTGATCAAGGCGGTGGTGCCACAGGAGAGTGTCGTGCGACAGCCGGCGACACTCACACTAGGTAGCTACCTGAGCGGACGTGTACAGCTGGGGAGACAAAGGGGTGGAGCGTGACGTAGTGGTGAGGGTGTACAGACTGGACCCAAGCGCACGTGTGAACGTGGCCAGGTGACGGCCGGTCCGGGATCACGTGCAGATCGCCACACGCTGTCCTCCAGGAGTAAAGGTGTCAACCCAGGGATCCTGAAGGACGGCATTGCTCACCAAGTTCGTAGAGAACGAGGGGAGGTGGAGACCAGACAGCTCACCAGACGGGACCACCGGACACGGAAGCACAGTGGAAGACCGTGCAAGCACTGGGCCCCCAGAGGGGTCAGCCAGTGAGACAGGGACAGGTGCAGGGAGGGGAGTGACTGTGGTGCTGTCGCGAAAGAAACAGCGGGAAGCACCAGAGTCAAGTGTGAAGGTGTGCAAGGCCTGTGCGGACGCAGTACCAGGGGGAGCAGACTCACAAGCACCTAGTGCCACAGGCGCTATACCTGGGGCTATACCGGGCTCAGGCAGCACACACAAGTAGCAGTCACCCTCAGCACTAACAGTCAATGCATACATGGCAGCAAGAATAGCCTCATAGTCAAGATCAAAGATAGGTACATCACGCCTAAGCAGGTCTGCCCAGTTGGGGAACTCAGTAGCATCAGGAAACTTGACGCGCCAGGCGTCGCTAAGCCGAGCGAAGCAGCGATACTCAGTATGAAACCCTGTGCACTGGCGACCAGCGCGAGGACCTGTGCGAATGATATAGGGGCAGCGACCAGGACCCCCAGACGCCCCACGCCTGGCATACCAGTCAAGAAGCTGCTGGGAAGTGGGGGTCTGGCGCTAACGCTGCTGCGGTTGCTGCTGCTGTTGCTGCTGCCCTTGGCCACCACCGGTGTCACCCAAGCCCCCACCACCGCTGCCACCACTACTCCCCCCTCCGCCACCACCGCCGCCGCCACCGCCACCGCTCCCGGCACCACCACTGACCCCACCACCACCGCCACCCCCACGACCACCCCCACCACCTCCACCTCCCCCGCCACCTCCACCACCGCCCCCTCCATTGCCACGTCCGCCACCCCTGCCACCCTTGCCTCCCTTGGAACCGCTGCGCTTCCCACTAGGAGCGGAAGCAACTGCGACCTTCTCGGCACCAAGGAAGTCGACAGCAGCAGCTGCGGAGGCGTAGGTGGGGGTAAGAGGGGAGGGGGAGCATCCCTCAAAGAGGGGAGAGCGAGGAGTACCACGAGCAGCACCTACAGCGAGGATGTTCTTCTCTGCTGCTAGGAGGTGCTTCTCGAAGTCGGCGACAGGGAGAGTGGTAGGGTCTAGGGCTAGGAAGTGGTCCCTGACGGAGCTAAGAGTGCCAGGGAGGCGGGTGACGAGGAAATAGAGAGTGAAGTACATTGTGGGGGGGGGGGGTTTGCGGCGCAGAACTTGGCTGGAAGGGCGGCACGAAAGCGAGTGTCACTAGTGCGAAGGTGAGAAATGAGGTCCTCAGCAGTGGTAAACGAGGACAGGTCGGGGAACAGGTAGGGTAGCATGAGCCGACCTAGGGCTGCAGTGGCCGGGGAGGAGTAGCGCGCAACTACAGCGCCGTACAGTGCCTTAGCAGTTTTGTGCCGGCTGAAATGCGCGCGCTCAGTGATCGGCAAATGGTTCCTAATAGCTAGGCGTCCAGCAGCATCACGAGTCTGCCACTGTGAGCGTTCAAGAGCAGTAGCATCGTCAGCAGGAGCAACGGCAGTGCCAGACACGTAATCGAACAGTGAAACGCCGTCTTTGGCATTGGTCAGAAGGAACAGTTGGAGATCGTCGAGCCACACAGCGAACTCGATCGGGCGACCGTCAGGCTCAAACGCGAGAACATCAAGCGTCGCCATAATCGTAGTGCAGGTAAAGCCAGTAGGCAAAGGCAGCAGGCAGCAGGCAGTAGACAGTAGGCAGCAGGCAGTAGGCAAAGGCAAAGGCAGCAGGCAGCAGGCAAAGGCAAAGGCAGCAGGCAGCAGGCAGTAGGCAGCAGGCAGCAGGCCGCGCGTGGGCTCCTAAGGCAGCTCGCGGGGCAGCAGCAGGCCGCGCGCGGGCTCCTACAGCGGCGTGCGGGGCAGCAGCGGGACGCGTTGGCGACGGACGCGACGCGCGGGGCCTAAGCGAGCCGCGCTGGCGATGGACGCGGCGCGCGGGGCCTAAGCGGGCTTCGCGTAGCGGCGGGCTGCGAGTGGCGGCGGGCTGCGCGAGCTCGTCGCGGGCTGCGCAAGCGATGCGCAGACGACGCGGGCTCAGCGCAGGCTGCGGGCGCGGCGCTCAGGGCCCAAAATATCAGGGTAGAATACCCTTTTTGCCCTTTTTGTAGGCCGCTTTTATTCAGTTACCCTGATCAAGGCAGGCTAACAGTACAGTTACCCTTTCTTCAAATTAGTGGTTTTTTTTTACCCTTTCAAAAACAGTGTAGTAGTTTCCTTTCCCTGACTAAGAAGTGTCACACAAGGGTTATAGTAGCAGCGATCTGAAGAAACCCGTATAGCCCAGGTAGACAGCCCGCACACATCAATGTTCGAAACCTGCAACCTTATCATTCGGAGGAGATCATGTAACTGACGAAGTCATTTACTGACGTCTCATGTGTTACAAATACCAAAGATGGAATGTTCCTTTGATTCAGTCAGGGTACTTTTTTTTTAGCCTGTATTTGCCACCGTATCAGAAATTTTACCCTAGGCCATCAGGGTGGGACAGGCTGAGACCGAGATTAGGCAGGGTGGCCTAAAACCAATTTTGGGCCCTGGCGGCGCTACGGCGGGTTGAAGAGGCGGCTGCAGCAGTAGCGCGCGCTAAAAAAAAAAAGGTACGTGCGCGTGCAGCCAAGGCGCGCGCAGGGCAGCAGGCAAGGCAGGCAGGCAGGCAAGGCCGTAGGTGAGGTAACGCGGTAACCAGTGGGCCCTAATCTTAGGTCCTAAAGACCTACTTCTCTGATACCATCTTAGAAACTAGGAAGCAATGTGGACTATCGAGATGATTTTGGTACAAGAAGGAAACCTAAGGGGTTGTACCCCACAGTATCTACCCCACTATAGCCTACCCAAAACTATAATATATATATATATATATATGTATGTTTTGCTGCGATCAGCAGTTGATCGTGGCCTAGGATCTACTCAGGAAGGTTCGCACGCAGAGAAGTGATGTTGGTGGGCCCTTGACCTCAATAGCAGAGTGAATGTAAATGCTTGAGATGAATAAAACATGCAAATACAGCAAATATAAATATGAGTACAGCGAAGATGAAACGACCTAGCTAGCCATGTACTCTAAGGGGTACATTCCCTTATTCAAATACATTCCCAACCGTGCGGCGCGAACAGTTACGAAACTGTTCTCGCCGAAGCCATCCTGCCTGCAGCTGCCTGATGCTTGTGTGCTCCGACGGTTCAGATGCGTCCCAGCTGTCTGACGCTTCGAGTCGTTTCCAACCGTCTGACGCTTCACGTTCATTCGCGATACTGCGTGCTGTGGTGAGGAGTGCACAGTAATATTCAAGTATTACTATTCGTATCACCCCCCTTCACTCCTGGCCGCAGCTCGACTTGACCTGCTTGACCACGCCGCTGAGTTCGGAGCAATGCTGATACTGCTGGCGTGGCAGTCGCTTCGTGAGGAAGTCTGCTGCCATGTCACCGGTCGGGCAGTAGGTCAAGTTGACCTTGCCCTTGTCTACCTCATCCTTCACGAAGAAGTACCGCAGCGCAATGTGCTTGGTCCGGTTGACGAAACCAGGTTTGTTCGCAATGCGAATCGCGCTCTGGTTATCGCAGTGAAGGCGAAATGTGGGCGAAGCTGGAATTTTCGCCTCTTGCAGGAGTTCCTGCAAGTAGAGGCCTTCGCGAACTGCTGCGGCTGCTGCGATGAATTCCGCTTCGGCTGACGACAGGGCAACCAGCTCCTGCTTCTGCGAGTTCCAGGAGATTGGTCCCGTTGGCTCGAGTCGGAACAGGTAGCCAGTCCTGGACCGTCGATTATCGGGGTCTGCTGCGTGATCGGCGTCCACATAGCCGATGAGGTTGAAGGATGGAGTTGGTGCAGTGGAGTAGCACAGCCCAACCTTGGGCGTTGAGACGAAGAACTGAAGGGAGCGCTGCAGATCCAGAAGATTCTCAGCCGTTGGTTTGCATGAGTACTGCGCCAGCTGACTGGCGATGTACGAGAGGTCTGGCCTGCAGGTGACAGAGGCGAAGAGGAGGCATCCCAACTGCTACTGGTAAGTTTGAATCCCAGCAGGGGATAGGGGTTTGTTGTCGTGTTTGTGGTTCGGTCCGGGAGTTCGGTAGGGAGTTGAGAGAGGTGCAGGTGAAATGTTGAACCGCTTCCCTAACTCCTCTGCGTACTTAGTTGCTGAGAGATGAATGGCCTCAGGCGCGTAGGAGATGTTGAGGCCTAGAAACTGCTTCACCTCGTAGTTGCACGTGATGTCGACGCGCCCTGCCAAGGCCTTCTCGAACTGCTCGAGAAGCTCGTTGTTTGAGCTTGTGTAAAGCAGGTCGTCGACGTACACCGTGAGGAGAATGTATTCCCCCCGGAATTCGCGGCGATACATCCCTGGATCGTGCGGCATCTGCTTGAATCCGATTTCAAGCAGGATGTTGTGCAGGTACTGCTGCCACAGCCTCGGAGCATGTTTGATCCCGTAGAGTGACTAGCGCAGCTGGCACACGCGTGAGTCCCCTTCGCCGTAGGTGTGCGGCTGCTCCACGTAGATCACGGCGTCTACTAACGCGTACAGGGACGCGTTCTTCACGTCGATCTGGTGGAGTGGTAGGTGTCTTGCAGCTGCAATGGCGAGCAGGATTCGAACGGAGGTATGGCGACTGACTAGGGCGAACGTCTGATCAAAGTCGATGCCATGCCTCTGATCGTAGCCGTGAACCACCCAACGTGCCTTGAAGCGCTCGTGTCAACGGGAGTTGTGTGTTGGCCCCGTCCTCGCTTGGGCGGAGCCGACTTCGTGGTCGGGTGTGTGGGGAGCAGCCGACCTGCAGCAGTGGGCGAGCGAGTTGACGAGGAGGTCGACCTGCACGGGGACCACTGCACGGGCGCCGACTTCAGGGTGGCGCCGACTTCAGGGAGGTCGACTTGGGAGTCGACCTGCGGAGGACGTCAACTTGGTGACGTCAACTTGGGGAAGCCGAATTCGGTGGTCGGCTGACGGACTGCTGGTCGACCTGCGGGTGGTCGACTGGACCTGGTGGTCAACGAAGGAGGGGCCGACGTCGACCTCGACTCAGGACGCCGAGCAGTTGGGCGTCGAGTAGTGGGGCGTCAACTTCGTGACGCCAACTTTGGGTGGCCGACGTGGGTGGTCGGCCGACAATTGTGCTAGTCGACGAGGAGCAGGTCGACCAGGAGTGCTGGTCGACGTAGAGCTGGTCGACCAGAAGGGACGTCGACCTAGAGGAGGTCGACCGAGGGGCGTGGTCGACCTGGTGAGGTCGACGTGGAGGTGGTCGTCGACTTGGGAGGTCGACGGGCACGTACGAGAGCTGCTGGTCGACGTGGTTGCCTGGTCGATCAGGTTACCTGGGTGACGAAGTGCTGCGGAGGAGTGCGACGGTCGCCCAGGCGAAGTTGGCGAGCCCGGCCTCGGTGGTGGTATCGCGAGGTCGTCGTTGCGGATCAGAGGTAGTCGTCAGCTCGAGGTCGACGTGGTGTGTGCGCTGTGCAGGTGACGAGACTCTGCACTGTCAGAATATATCTGTAACTGCCTGTAGCTGTAGTTAGTGTAGTTATTATAAACTTTGTTTGGTGGTGCACCTTCTTTGTTCCTTTGCTATATGTTCTTGCAAACCTATAGTGAAGCCCCATTCTCTCCTTTCAGCTTTCTCGACATTCATCTTCAACCCTAAACCTAAGCTACTTAGACACTCACTAGCAATGGCTCCTAAGCCTAAGTCACGCTAGTATCTCAACATGGTATTCAGAGCAAGTACCTTCCTGCTGCATTCCTGCTTCCGCTGCCTATCGTCCTGCCGCGCGCCTTGGGCGCGCGGCGCGCACGGCGATTTTCTGCCCGCCGTGTGCTCGAGGCGCACGGCGGGCTTCTGCCCGCCGTGCGCCCTGGGCGCGCGGCGTCTTCCTGCCCCGCGCATGGCCTGCCCTCACGCCCTGCGAAGCGCCGTCCCTGCTCGTCGCGACGCACCTGCGGGACCTGGGCGTCGCCTTGCTTGTCGCGACGCCCCTGCGGGACCCACGGGGCGTCGCCACTCCTCGTCGCGGCGCCCCCTGGACGCCGCCCCTGCTCGTCGCGGCGCCCCTGGGGCGTCGCCCCTGCTCGTAGCGGCACCCCTTGGGCGCCGTCCCTGCTCGTCGCGGCGCCCTCCCCCCTGGCCACCGCCTCTGCCTCACCTGCGCCCGCGCAAGCGTTGCAGCCGCGCGCGGGCCTACCTTGCACCAGCGCCGCCCCTGGAGCAGCCGCCCCTGGAGCAGCCGCCCCTGGCCACTGGAGCAGCCGCCCCTGGTGCAGCCGCCCCTGGACCTCAGCAGCCGCCCCTGGACCCCGCGAGCCGCCCCAGCAGCAGCCCACGGCGCCGACCTTACAGCTGTATGCCCCGCCGCTCCTGGACTCGGTACGGCTGCCTTCCTGTGCTGCCCGTTGCTGCCTGTTGCTGCCCGTTGCTGCCTGTTGCTGCCTGTGCTTGTTCTGCCCGTTGCCGTCCGTTGCTGCCCGTGCCTGTGCTGCCCGTTGCCGCCCGTTGCTGCCCGTGCCTGTGCTGCCCGTTGCCGCCCGTTGCTGCCCGTGCCTGTGCTGCCTGTTGCCGCCCGCTGCTGCCCGTGCCTGTGCTGCCTGTTGCTGCCCGTGCCTGTGCTGCCTGTTGCCGCCCGTTGCTGCCTGTGCCTGTGCTGCCCGTTGCTGCCTGTTGCTGCCCGTGCCTGTGCTGCCCGTTGCTGCCTGTTGCTGCCTGTGCCTGTGCTGCCCGTTGCCGCCCGTTGCTGCCCGTGCATGTGCTGCCCGTTGCCGCCTGTTGCTGCCCGAGCCTGTGCTGCCCGTTGCCGCCCGTTGCTGCTCGTGCCTGTGCTGCCCGTTGCCGCCCGTTGCTGCGCGTGCCTGTGCTGCCCGTTGCCGCCCGTTGCTGCCCGTGCCTGTGCTGCCTGTTGCTGCCCATTGCTGCCCGTGCCTGTGCTGCCTGTTGCTGCCCATGCCTATGCTGCCTGTTGCCGCCCGTTGCTGCCTGTGCCTGTGCTGCCCGTTGCTGCCTGTTGCTGCCCGTGCCTATGCTGCCCGTTGCTGCCTGTTGCTGCCTGTGCCTGTGCTGCCCGTGCGTGTGCTGCCCGTCGCCGCCCGTTGCTGCCCGTGCCTGTGCTGCCCGTGCCTATACTGCCCCTGCTCTTCCCCCTCCCCCTTCTTTGTCTACCTGCTGCGCGTGCAGCCGTGGAACAGAGGCTATGGGGGTGGCGGGTATGGGGGTGATGGGTGTGTGTGATCCCCTTCCCCTCCTCGTCCTTTCTCTCCCACTGCTGCAACTGCTGCTGGGGGGGGTGGGTGTGAGGGTGTGGGGGAGCTGGGGGAGAGGTGCTAGGGTTGTCGAGGAGTGTGGAAAGGGGAGTTGGAGGACTGAGGAAGGTTCTAGGAAGCAGCCGCCTTGGAGCCAGCAGCTTCACCTGCCAGCAGCTTCTCCTCATATAATCCCTCCTCCTCACTTGCCCTCTCCTCCTGCTGCGCTTGGTGTACCCCTTCAGGGGGTGTCTCTGCATTAGCTTCTGCTGGAGGCAGTTATGGGGGAGTGTCAGAATATATCTGTAACTGCCTGTAGTTATAGTTAGTGTAGTTATTATAAACTTTGTTTAATGGTGCACCTTCTTTGTTCCTTTGCTATATGTTCTTGCAAACCTATAGTGAAGCCCCATTCTCTCCTTTCAACTTTCTCGACATTCATCTTCAACCCTAAACCTAAGCTACTAAGACACTCACTAGCAATGGCTCCTAAGCCTAAGTCACGCTAGTATCTCAACATGCACGCCAATCATCTGCGCGCACCTGCGAAGCGGGTGCACTGCTGTCCTGCGTGAGCAACGCTGGCACGCCGTCAACCTGCGACGTTAGCACGCCGTCGACCTTGCCTTGCTGGAGCGCCGTCGACCAAGTCGTGCTGGAACGCGGTCGATCAAGCTACGCTGGCAGTTGACCGACCTGAATGCTTGCTCTGATGTAGTCTTGCTATGCCAACTTCATTGTACCATTGTTCTGAACTTTTCCCAGTGGAACTCTTGCCAACTTTCCCCGTGAACTAGCAAGAAGTGTGTGCACATCGATCCGCCAAATGCCCGAAGTTTCTGCAGTTTTTGCAGTAGAGGCGCCGAGGTCGTCGCTCTTCGTTGTTGTCGGCGTAGAAGGCGAGCCGTTCACGTTCTCGTCGTGGCGCTGGTCGCTGCTGATCCATGTCCCGTTGTTCGACGAGAAGGGCGGCGCAAAGGGCGGCCTCCGAGATGACCCCCTGATGTCGGAGGAGCGCCTTGCAGGGCCGCCACTCTGGGCCAAGCCCTTGAAGCACAATGTTCACGAAGATTTCCTCAGAAATCGAGCTTCCCAACTTCACGATTTAATCCCGAAGGCTCCGACAGCGGTTGATGTAGCTGTTGACCTTCTCCCCTGAGGTAATCTTAGTTTCCAGCAGTTGCTGGAGTAGTCGGCTCGAGGAGATGGAGTCCTTGGGCTGATACACGCCGTTCAGGTGGCGCCAAGCGTCGAGGGCTGGGGCAGCCGATGTCTTGTATGAACGGATGTTCAGCTGCTCCGCCGGCGACATGTTACGCAGAAGAATCCCGTACGCCATCAGGGACTCGTTATAATAGCGAGTCCTTGCGTCGTCGGTTTCCTCAGCAGGTCCCGAGTAGCTCCCGTCGAAGTTATGATGAATCTCCGCGTTTTGCAGCAGCAGCTCCAGCTCGAAGCTCCAGGTGTAGAAGTCTCTGCCGTCAAAGCATACGCTTGTCTTTATTTTTGATATGCTCAAAAACCTTGATTGCGCGGAGAGAATTGCTTCATCGCTGGGACAGGGAGTCTTGGGCATTGAACCATTCGTATCTAGGGAGAAGCCTTGCGGGGCGGAGTTTTGGCCGTTTGGGGCCGGTTGAGTGGGTTGGGAAGAAGTTCCCGCATCGCCATTTCGCAATGTCTGGAGCCCTTGCTCTAGGCTCGTGAGTCGCTGAAGCAGTTGTGCGAGGACGGCGGAAGGAATCGTCGTCGTTTCCTCGTTTGTCGCTGCCCGGGTTGGGCTGCGCTTCAGCCGTCAGATTCGTTTGACCTCCAGATCCTCCGGCCATTCTTGCACGTGATCGTGTGCCGGACGCCACTTTCCGAATGTCGCAGATTTCGGAGATGGCGGTGCGAAGGATTCCTGAGTCGCTCTCATACCATGCTGCGATCAGCAGTTGATCGTGGCCTAGGATCTACTCAGGAAGGTTCGCACGCAGAGAAGTGATGTTGGTGGGCCCTTGACCTCAATAGCAGAGTGAATGTAAATGCTTGAGATGAATAAAACATGCAAATACAGCAAATATAAATATGAGTACAGCTAAGATGAAACGACCTAGCTAGCCATGTACTCTAAGGGGTACATTCCCTTATTCAAATACATTCCCAACCGTGCGGCGCGAACAGTTTCGAAACTGTTCTCGCCGAAGCCATCCTGCCTGCAGCTGCCTGATGCTTGTGTGCTCCGACGGTTCAGATGCGTCCCAATTGTCTGACGCTTCGAGTCGTTTCCAACCGTCTGACGCTTCACGTTCATTCGCGATACTGCGTGCTGCGGTGAGGAGTGCACAGTAATATTCAAGTTTTACTATTCGTAACATGTTTGACACTTGCTTCATAGCCCATGTTGATCAAGTGCCCAACTTAAATAGTCGAATGCGTGCAGGGTATTTTCGAAACGTGGGAACAGTGCAAGGGTTCGGGTTTGAAAATAGCGGTGGTTAGCGTAATCCCCCCCCAGTTGTAGACCCCCTGGTCTATAATACGGACCCGGGTACTCTATTCGAGTACATCTGAGTTAGACCCCCTAAATGGCTCCTAACATTATAAGACCCCCCCACATACTAGAGAAGTGCGGATTTTACAAAAATATGCAATTGAAAAGGTAACGAATTTCGAATTTCAAATGAGTCAACACCCATTTTCAATGTGTTTGACTTTCGAAGGCTTCACTTGTTGCGCGTCCAGTCAGGATGAGCTGGCACGTGGGCAAAGTGACGTGCCAAATCTCTGTGCACAGTCAGGGAAACGCCCTCGCGCGATTCTAATTCAGGATGATGTATCAGTATGATTCGATTGAACTTACGAGACTGAAATGTACAACATCGTGCATTCTTATAAATGTCAATCTGAACAGACCCGGGTCTTCTTAAAAAATATACCATTTAATTATACCCCCCAGCCTTTTTAGGGGTGATTATCATAATACCCTAGGGTCTTATATACGGGGGATTACGGGTAGGTGTACTGTATTTGAAGCAGAGGTGTTCAGCGGCCAGCCTGTAACATCACTTTCAAGGTGACTTCTGAGTCGACTCAAAAGTCACCTTGTCGACTCAAAAGTCAGTGTTCAGCGGCCAGCCTGTAACATCAATTTTATTGGAGAAAACAGCCACAGATATAATTCCACATCTGCAACCTGGATGATACAGGAGACACAACTCACCATGATAAATACTGTACTACACATCGCAATAAGCTAAACACCGTCCATTACCATCAGCGCAACAACCGTCAGCATAACAGATATAGAGATTCCACCAGCACTGCAGCATAAGAAAAGGTTGCGGCACAGCAGCAGCCTCACTCACCAATACCGTACTCATCAGACAGACATGATTCATGAACTAGGCAGCAGCGGAGGCAAAGAGCTTGGCCACCTCACTCCACATGGCCCAGGGCTTGTCAATGAGATCAACGGTGTAGTTGATGTGATGCTGGCTGGGCAGAAACTCAAACTCGCACGGAATCTCCGAATCCACATACCCGTTAGTAAGCGCCATGGCAATCGTCCCTTTCACGTTGAGAGGCAGCGACGCGCTGTCTGGCGCCATGGCAGAAAGCTGGCGGAGACTCGCGGCCATGTCAGCGAAGTTCATCAGGGTGAACCCGAGGCACGAGGAGCCCACATCAGGGGGCTGGTTGGGCAAACCACCCACGGTTACCATGGGCACTTTGTGGCGTTTCCCCAGGATGTGCGTAAGGATGGCGCAGGCAGAGAAGCAGTTTCCGTCCGACAGGACCCGGAAGGGCCGGCCGCCAAACACCGGCTGCCGCTCCTTCCCGGTGAATCTGTCGGTCATCTTGAACGGCGCCGAGTAGTTTCCAGCCGGGCCGGCCGCTGTGAAGCGGCGCTCGCGGAAAGGAGCGTAGCCAAACACGCTTGTGAGATTCGTTCCGTTGAGGTCGGAGTATGCGTCGATGAAGTAGAGAGAGGCCGCGTTGACAGCGAGCAGGCCGATGGCGTTCTCGGTGTACTGCGAGCCGATGATGAAATCCATGCGCATGGTGAAGCTTGCGTCGGGGACCTTGGCTGCCCCCATGAGCAGGCGGATGGCTGTGTATGATGCCACCGTGGATCCGCCACCGTTGCCCCGCACGTCTATGATGACCTGAGAGGCGTTGGACCTGAAGAAGGGAGGGGCATGGGGGGAGTGTGGGGGGACGCATGGGGGGACATATGGGGAGAGACATGGGGGAACGCATGGGGGGAGGCATGAGGTCAGGGCGCTAGCATGAGGGGAGTGTGGGGGGAGGCATGGGGGGGAGTGTGCGGGGAGGCATGAGGGGGAGTGTGCGGGGAGGCATGGGAGGACGCACGCGGGAACACATGAGGGGATGGATGGGGAGCACATGGGGAGCACATGGGGAGCACATGGGGAGCACATGGGGAATGCTTGGAGGAATGCATGTGGGGGCAAGGGAGGAGACATGGAAAGGATCATGGGGCAATGAGCAAGAGGGGGAAACGAGGGCGGACAAGTGCTGATGTTAAAAGGAGTGACATGTCAGGTGCATAGCATGAGACAGTGTCGTGTGCCATTGTAAGGAGCAGAAAGGCACAATGCTGGGAGTCGGGACCACATAAGGGTGAAAGAAGGAGTGTTTTGAGACGCCTCAAATCATAAGGGTGGCTGCAGGTAAGGGGTGTAAGGAGGGAGGTACTGACGCTGCTGCGGTTTGAAGAGCCTTGGTGACCTCCTGGTCCATGACGTCATCCTTGATGTCGTCACTGAACGTGTGCAGCCAGATCACGGCCGTGCTGTTGTCCATCAGGTACACCTGCACAGCCCCCCCCCCCCCCCCCCCCCCCCCCACACACACACACACGCACACGCGCGCGCGGGCACACACACACACACACACACACACACACACACACATGCACACGCGCGCGCGGGCACACACACACACACACGAAAACGAGTTGGACGCACATGATTGGTCTACGACTCTACGCAAGTGCAGCAGGCACCTCAAAACAGATCAGGTAATAGCACATCAGGTGGCAGTCAGTTACTGTTGCACACCAGCTGGCACACGCAAGCAAGTCACTTGATGACTCCAGCTGGCACACGCAAGCAAGTCACTTGATGACTCCAGCTGGCACACGCAAGCAAGTCACTTGAAGCTGTGCCACACACGTCAAGCCACAGACGTCATCACAAGCCAAGCACCCACCACGCAAGAACCCTATTACAACCACCAGCATTCACCCCAACGACTGAAGCCATCTCGCTCACCAGGAAAAGGTCATCCTTGGGTGAGATCCTCGTTACAGTCGGCCCCCGTACTGCACCAGAAGAGCCGTTTGCTGCTGCAGCAGAAAGCGACGCAATCTCGACATTCAGGTTGCCGCTGCCATCGCTGGTATCATCATAGTAAACTGGATCGGGGTGGCGCTTGAGAAACTTGTAGATCACTGGTGTGTCTGCTGCATGTCCGTGTCCATGGAGTCCGAGCGTGCTTGCGTGCGCGCTAGTGCCGTCAGTGGCATTGCTTGATGGCTCCACGGCACAGAACGTCGCCCAGTATTCCGTGGCGTTTGTGAAAGCAGTCAGGTTTCCTGTCCCGATCCATGCCACCTGAACGTCCTCCGTCGAAGCACTCTTTCTGAGAGGTGCGGAGGGGAGCAGCACAGAGAGGATTATTGAGTCGACTCAAAAGTCACCATTTTCCTGTCCCGATCCATGCCACCTGAACGTCCTCCGTGGAAGCACTCTTTCTGAGAGGTGCGGAGGGGAGCAGCACAGAGAGGATTATTGAGTCGACTCAAAAGTCACAATTTTCCTGTCCCGATCCATGCCACCTGAACGTCCTCCGTCGAAGCACTCTTTCTGAGAGGTGCAGTGCAGTGCAGAGGGGAGCAGCACAGAGAGGATAAATCTGGCAGCCGCGGAAGAGAGAGCGCGAGACATGTTCAAAACTGTACGTGAGACATGTTCAAAACTGAGCGTGAGACATGTTCAAAACTGTACGTGAAGAAGAATGAGAGTGGCGAACGAAGGCAGCAAGCAAGAGAGCAAGTGAAAACAACGACACGCGTAGCGACAGGGAGAGCCGATAAGAAAGCATCGACTGTCTGTCACGTCACTCACTCGATTGCGAACGACACCAGTAAGGTGTCATTTTCGGGAGCATAGGCTCGCCGGGCGAAGTCGCCTGGCACCTGGACGATGCCTGTCTCCCCCGACGACCCATCCACTATATTCGCCGCGAAAGATTTCGTGAATCGCGCAGCCCGATTGCGAAACATGCCCCCTTCCTTGTCCGCCCAGTTCAGGATGAAATCTTCCGCCTTTTCCCCGTTAATAGCCACCACCTGGGGCGTCGCATGAAACATGGAACATGGATTTGTAAAACAGGTGTGTAATGCATGCAAGCAGGGCGCTGCTGAATGAACCAGGTGCTTGAATGACATTAACGAACCGGGTGACTCTATCAGTTTGTTGCATCATTGCATGCATACCTGTCGGCCCTCGTAAAGACTGAAGTCAAAATTGTGCAGAACCTTTGCAACATGGTCCAACCCGTTGGGAGTGACATCTGATGGCAAGAGGGATTTTCAAAAGAGAGTTTATGGTTAAGCTTTTTTCGTGGTACGCTCTTTAGGATTGCTCTTCTTTGCAGCAGAATGCCGGGGAATACCATTGAACAACCCTAACTGTTAAGAGTGACACTTACATAGTGCAGCAGAGCAACCCACAGACAGTACTGCAACACTCACATCGGCGTGGCGCAACGCAGCAGAGGGAGGAAAATCTTCATTCACCAACCCTCACCGGGAGGGAATGCATTGAGCAACACTCACATCGGCGTGGCGCAACGCGAATGATCTGCTGCCCGTTTTCAACAACAGCCATGAGCGGCAACGGCAAGTCGTAACTGCTCCCTCCGAAGCAAGTCGGATGGAACGCGCTGTGCCCGTCGTTGAGCGCGTTGGTCGCGCGGAACGCCGCCATGTGCGCGTCAACCAGCCGAGGGTACTTTCCCGCTTCGGCGTTCGCGACGATTTTCCGCAGGTCCGCGACAATATCGATGCTGCTCGGCAGGTTGGTCTGGTCCGGCGAGTCAACGGCGATGTGCTTGTACACGTAGTGATTGTCGAACGCGTTCGCGATCGACAGCAGGTCCTCCACGTCGCAGTCCTTCCTGCCAGTGGGAGATCGGCCGTGGCAATTGTACAACCGCAAATCAGGCCAACATAAACGAGACCAGAAAGCGTGGAGTTCGGTTTCAGTTCAGTGGCGCATGAAAATAGATAGCGGAAAAGAAAAATATCAGCAAAACTCTTTCACGGTACATGAACGGTGGCGGTACAATACAGTACCTGAACAGGAACGTGGAGTGGCACGCGCGGAAGAGAGAAGGAGCAGCGAATCCTTGCCCTCCAGTCTTGTCCCCAAGTTTCCCCGCAGTGCGATTCAGCTCCGCTGCCAGCGCAGCACACGGGTCGGGCGCGGCTCCGGCTGCGATGAATCCGTTCAGAGGGGCGTCGTGGCACGATACCGCAGGAGCCGGCGCCGGCGCCGCCGGAGCTGGCGCCGGGACTGCTGAAACTGGCTGCCCAACAGCCACCTCTGCCGGTCCGTCGGACTCCGCGGCAGTGAGAGTGGCGGGCTTCGCGGCGACGGGGAAGAGGCCGTCGTTCCAGAACCAGTGGCGGGCGGACGCGGAGGGCGCCTGGAGCAGCAATGCGAGGACGAGCACGGGGAGAAGCCCCGCCGCCGTGGAGAACGCGCCGCCGCGCCCTTGAGTGACGGCCCGTCGCGGGGCAGCCATTGCGCTGCGGCAGATGGGGGACTGGGTCGGCTACGAGTGCAAGAGAGTGTCAGCGGCGGTAGCAACGCACGCTACTTGTTGGTTAGGAGAGAAAACTGCGGGAATGAACTGTGAGGTGTGGATGGCCGAGCGGGTAAATATATTCCGTGGGAGAGCAGAGCAGGAGAGGCGAATTTGGTTCGGAGCTTCGGTGCGAGTCGGGTCGACGATTTTCCGCCGCCGCGACGCCGCCCATGGTGTGCGACGAGACCCGCTCGGTCGCCCAGTACTAGGGCAGGGGCGAAGTATGGCGAGCGTACGAACCGAACCTGCCCTGGTGTGGAGAACGGACTCCAAAATCCCTGATTCGTCTTGCCCCTACGACACAGCCCCACTGCCTTGCGACGGACTAATGCCATGCGACCTCACTACAGATTGGAAGGGCGAGGCGGCTCCGCAAGTCTTTCGGATAGGTAGCTGGTGGGGAGATGTGCAAGACTTAGGAAGTCTTGTTCGGGTTGGTAGCTGGTGGCGAGAGGCGCAAGACTTTGCGTGACTCAGCTAATAGCACATTGATGAGTTGTCTAGGGATCCGAGAGAGGGCGCATTCCTATGTATAGCGTCGCGAAAAGACGTGTCGAGGTTGATTGTGATGCCTGTTGGAGGTGAGGATGTTACAGCGCAAGTGCAAATTGTGTGGAGTCGTTCCTATCAATTCCCAAATGCGTGAGTCGCCACGATTTTTTCTCGTCGCGAGCGGCTGGAAATGTCGTCTTCGCACTCCGAGCACGGAGTTACCGATTTTTCGCAAGAATCAGTCTAACTGGACCCGGATCTGGAACTCGGCCACCTCCTGTGCGGAGTCTGCTCGTAAATGTGGGCCCTAAGGTCTGAGGTTCTGGGAAAGCAGACGAAATAGAGTAACAGGTGTGTACAAAGTTGTTTTCTTCAAATAACACACATTGAAAGGAGTAACTTCAGAAAGGGTTACACGACGATACGACTGACGATCGCCGCAGAGACTTTCGTCAATCGCTTGACCACCCGCGAGGGCAGGCTGACTAATAGCCCAAGGACCACTCTCCTATTTTTGGCGGGCTGTCAGTCAGCCTACCACAAAAAAATAGGAGTTCTATGTAGGAATCTGTTGGTTTTCGCTCCTTCTCATACAGCTCATAATTGCACGTACCGCTCAAACGCGCTACCGACGTAGGTCGAAAACCGTCGTGGCAAGCTCGCACGTATTAGAGAAGCCGCTTGTTAAAAATCAATCTTCCCAGGTGCGTGCGTAACTGGATGTTCGCCTCCCCTTTCGCGTGTGTCGCACCCACCCTCGTCTCCCTCTCGCGACCGTCTCGCAGACTCGCGCGTTCAGATTTAGGGTTACCATTACGACTCAGCATGCGTGTTCAGAATTTGCGTAATCATACAGTCGTGATCCTTGTCACTCTTTTTCCACGTCTGTCGCGGTTAGCACGCGTTGTCGTGTTACGAAACAGGAGTGACGACTAGTCGCGATTTCCGGCGTTGCGCGTCCGGCGTTGCACACCCGTGGCAAGAGATGAATAGGTTGTGCTCAAGTCGCTTTTCCAGACGTCTCAAGACACGTTTCCCCACCTTCCTCGCTGCAGTGGACAGACGGAAGCTCAAGACAAAGGCAAGACGAGGGACAAGCCGTGGAAGGCGGTTCAGTGAGAGCCAGCACGTGCAGGAGCGACAGCAGGATATAGAGTCGTATGGTGGGTGTCTCGCACGTGTATCGCATGCTGGAGATGTGTCGCATGGTAATGGGTGTATTGCATGGTGGGTGCATGTCGACTTGGTTTTTCCGGCTCCCCTGCTTTTCCTGTATTTTGCTCTCCCTTTCTTTAACCTCCCTCACAACAAACTTTTCGTGGCTGCCTTGGCACAATTCTCCTCACATTCATCTTACATTCGTCTCAGATTCTTCGCAGATTCTTCTCAGATTTGTCGCGGATTCTTTTCAGTTTTTTCCCAGATTCGTCTCAGATTTTTGCCGTCCCACCAAGCTGTTTCAAGGAGCTGTAGCTGTTTCCACCCCCACCACTTGCAGGTGTTGCAGTGGTGGCTTTTCAAGGAGCTCAAAGATGCACAGGGGCAGGCAGAGGTAGCAGCTGACGCTGACAACTCCTATCTCCCCACCCACCCCCCTGTTCCAGTCTCGTTCATTCCACCCCAGGCGTCGCGGTCACGGCTGTTCAAGGAGTTGAAGGAGGCGCAGCGGGAGGCACGGGTTGCAGCTGACGCTGACAACCCCGTATCTCCCCACCCACCCCTCTGTCTTAATCTCGTTCCATCCCTTCCTCTCGTTCATTCCATCACAGGCGTCGCGGTCGCGGCTGTTCAAGGAGTTGAAGGAGGCGCAGAGGGAGGCAAAGGGATCAGCCGATGCTGACATCATCCTGAGCTGTGATGAGAGCAACATCTACAGATGGACGGCCCTCATCAAGGTAGAGTTGAATGGACGGCTGTGATGAGAGCAACATCAACAGATGGATGGCCCTGATCAAGGTATGCAGGATGTGACGGTTGTGATGAGAGCAACGTTTACAGATGGACGTCTATTATCACTGCTTCCGCATCTTCCTAAACCCCTTCGTAACTCAGCCCCCCCTGCTGTTTAGTACATTCAACCTATGATACGTAATGGCCCTGCCTCAAAGCCTAGGGTTGACTCGTGTGCCCCTTCCCTCCCTCCCCCCCCAACCCCCCCTCCCCCCCCTCTCCGCCTCTCGCTGCTGCCTACCCTTGACCCCGATGTTCTTTCCCCAGGGCCCAGCTGACACGCCTTATTACGGAGGGCAATTCACCCTCACCATCAACGTGCCCCAGCAGTACCCTCTTGTTCCGCCCCAAGTGCGGTTCGCTACCAAGGTCTTCCACCCCAACGTGCACTTCAAGGTCAGTCAACTCTGAGTCAACTCAAGTCAACCAAGATCTTCCACTCCCAAGTGCACTTCAAGGTCAGTCAACTCCGGGTCATCACATTTCGGCCAATGCACTTTATACATCATCCACATGGCATGGAATCAGCTTCAGTGTGTCTCTCACCTGACTCCCGTTTCTCTCACCTGACTCCCGTTTCTTTCTCTCACTCACCAACTCCTTCCCCTTGCACCCCCTCTTTCCCCCCCCCCTTTCCCTCTTCCACGCCCTACCACCCAGACGGGGGAGATCTGTTTGGACATCCTCAAGACCGCATGGAGCTCTGCCTGGTCCCTCACACCCGTGTGCACTCGAGGGACTTCATCCCATGCGTGTGCATCTCCGTCATCACTCTCACCCCTTCGTCCCCCTTACCTCCACTTCCTCCCCTTCCACGCCATGCCATGCAGACGGGGGAGATCTGTTTGGACATCCTCAAGACGGCATGGAGCCCAGCTTGGACCCTCACATCCGTGTGTCGCGCCATCATCACTCTCCTCTGCCACCCCGAGGCCGACAGCCCACTCAACTGCGACTCAGGTGAGTGAGACACATCAGGTCAATCAAGTCCACCAAGTCGCTTCTAGTGGGAATTTTCTCGTGTCTCTGTGTCGCGCCATCATCACTCTCCTTTGCCACCCCGAGGCCGACAGCCCACTCAACTGCAACTCAGGTGACTGACATTCCAGCCTTGGATCGGTGTCGAGTCCAACAAGTCACGTTCAAAATGAACCCGTCACGTCCATGAGTCTAATCTCATGTCTCTCTCTCTCTCTTTCCCCCCCCTTGTGTACATACCCCCTCTCGTGTAAATACCCCCTCTCACGTACGTAACCCCTCTCGTGTGTTCCCTCCATGCGACCCCACCCCATTCCCCTGCAGGCAATCTGATTCGAGCAGGTGACAACCGGGGCTATTGCTCCATGGCTCGCATGTACACTAAACTCCACGCCATGCCGCCCGCTGCCAGATGAGGTTGATTTGGCTCACAGATCGACACCATGTTTCCCGCGACCAGATGAATGTTGAAGGTGTTGAGAGTTTCCTGGGGCTCACATGTACACTACATTCCACGCCACACCGCCTGCAGCAAGGAAACCTTGGAAGGCATCAGGTATATTGCATGGGTATATGTACAAGTTTTTTTTTTTATCTATGGTATGATGCGTGCATCATGATGGTCTTAAAGCGCCAATTTTGCTGCAGCTAGCTAGAATGTGAATGTGGCCTCTCATCTCTTCGCAAACGGAGGACATGACCTGCTGCAATCTCTTTGCGAACGGAGCACCTGACCTGCTGCAAAGCAGCCATTGCAACCTGCACTGTGCTGGGATTTACAGAGTAAGGAAGAAGCGCACAGACAGACAAAACAAACTTGGATACTGGCATCATCTGCATGTTTGCATCCGTTGAGAAAGGCATTTGCTTGCATCCCCCTCAGAAGCGCTCAGTTTCGAGGCGCCTCGAGTGTTGTGAGAGTCGCAATACAGGTAGGTGTGTTGTACTGGCACCAACCATGGGTGAACATTGGAAACACCTCAGAATCCATGTTTGCAAAGCAAGCAGTGAGGTAGGTCTCAAGTGGCCAGGTGTCCTTAACCAGGTGGCATTTACCCACGTGTCATAGGTGTCATTTGACCAGGTGTCACTTGGAGAGTTGCCGCTCTAAATCCTCCAGAGATATTGGTGCATGTAGCTGTGTGGGGGGTTGGTGATGGGGAGTGGATATGGGAGAGAAAGGGGATGGAGAATAGAGTGCATGGAATATAGCACGGCGGCCTGTGGCATGGATGTATGGTAGCATGGTAGCGTGGATAACATGGTGGCATGAAGGCACCATGGCATGGCATGGGTTGTGTAAGGATCATGATGTGGCATGGTAACGTAACATGCCTGCCTTGACAGATTGCAAAGCTAATTGTCAGGGTCTTCACAACCCCAACAGCTGATACCTCCCTGACAGCTCTATCTCCCAAACAACCCTCCCTCACATCCCCTTACCTCCTTGGCGATCCTCAGCCAATCACAGGCTCTTGCAGGCCCATCACCAGCCTTGGGAACTCTGTCATGGTTCCAATAGGCGAAAGAGGAGAATCGCCCCACAGTCCGCCACTGTGCTGCATGGGGAAAACCAGCTATCACCTCCGTTCCTTCCTCCTCTGCCTCTGCCCTCCCATCTGCCTCTGATTCTCCTACCCCCTGCCCTCTTTCCTCGCTGCTGGTCCTTTCCGTTTCCTGTCTCGTTCTCGCAACGTCCGTGGCTTGCCGTTTAGAGGGAGGTTCAACAACACCTGCTGCTGCTGCTTCTGTTCTTCCCTTCTCCATTTTCTCCAATATGAGGCCTGGAGAGCAGAGAGGAGATAAGAAGGACTGCAGGGGACCTTGAGAATTAGGGTTTCATTAGCAGGCTGAAATAAATTAAGTTGGAATATTCAAGGGGAAGCGTATGAAAGAAAGGGAAACGCAATCGCTAGACTTTCATCGCATCACCTTTATAGCCGTCAGGAAGGTTGAGGCGCCTTCCCAAAAGCCTCCTGCCTCTAAACGCGGCTTCCAACGGTACTGTGCCATCCGTCATAGTCACATCTGTGAAGATGCCAGCAAGGTCGGAGGGGATGGTCAGAATGTTGAGCTATAGCGAATCGTGTGAAACTTCGAATAAAGCCACCAGAACAAAGTGGAGCCGCCGCTAAAAAATCAAGGTAAGAATGTCCCACCCTTGGCCTCGATTGGACGGAAAAAACGCGACACGGCAGCTGGTCCGTTGTGCTCAATGCAGCAGGGCAGAAGATGCACGTCAACGCCAACTTCTGGCTCAGAAACTGACGTCTGACAGTCTCGAGGCTGAGAGGTGCCGCTGATCACCCTAATTTCGTCGGTTATGTCCATCGCTGGCGGAAAGTAGACGAACGAAGCGGAGCGCCAACACAGTGCGCTTATGGTCTGATCGACAATGAGTTGCGACTTGGGAAGGAGATGAGTACATGCGGATCCCAAGGAAGCCGAAGTGGTGGGATTTCCCTGACTGCACTGGCATCTCGGACAGGTGGGTAACCAGATAACGTGCGCGGACTCTCACGGACGCTTGTGGCGAAAGTTCCTGCTATTTTTAGCTATTCATTAAATACAGGTGGTTACGAAGACCTGGTTTCACTACTGAATGTGGTGAAGCTTTTAGCGGAGTATGTCAATGTTGTCATCTCTCCCTGAGAAATTTTGGTGTTGTCCGTCGCTGCAGTACAGAACCTTCGCTGTATGGAGAGTGATGATTGGTTATGAACCACGTCACAGATGGAACGCGGGAGGTGAGGATCTTTTGCTGATTTGGCGAGGAGGGCACGTCAAATGCTTTTAGATGATCCTCCAAATAAAACCGATTTTCAGCCTGAGGTACTGTCTGTATCCTCTCAAGCCAAGCCAAGCCCTGAAGCAGGCTAAAGAACAGTGTTTTCGGGCATCGGAATGTTGAAGCTGTCATTTACTGACTAGCAAAATGTGAATCTATTCTTAACCTTGAAACTACAGTACTGCTGCTGTAACGAATAAGTTCCGGTGGAGAAGCGAAAGCTCAAGCTGAATGATGGAAGCAAGTTGGCTGATGTTACTATATGTGTTATTTGAGATTTGTGGGTGCTTCGAGAAAGTCACTGTAGCTGTCCATCTGAGCGCACGAACGGTACACAGTGGATGAAACCAGGTGGAGTAACAACTTTACAAGCTTGGATGTAATTCGTGTAGATCCAGTCCAGATGTCTTTCACGCTGCATTTGCGGGCGTGGTGGCCAATGAACTGGCGTACGCGGGCATCCCGTTCGAACACAATGAAGCGCGTCATGAGCAATGCAATAATGAGGATACGATTGTACGATGCCTGACCCGATCTCCCGCTGCCTTGTGAACAAATATGAACCGTAGGATCTCCATCGTATCGCCACATCGCTTCAGTTTCATCTCTTGCCACATAAGATCCAGCGCTGTGCCGACCCACGTGGCAGGACTCATCAACGTGGGAAAATCCTCGCACATGGGACCCTCGTGCGCGTCTCAGGTCGAGCCGCCGAATGCTGATCCAATTCCTCACCAAATTTCGAATCTCACATTCTTGGTAGGTTTAGGGGCGGACGCGGGCAGAGCACGGCCGCTAGGGGAAAGTCGCGTTTGTTGGTTGGGGACAGGCTTGCACGCAGCCAAAGAAACCGACAACATGTACGACGGGAGCCATTGCCAGCTGATTTGACCTCAGCGTTGCCGAAGAGTCCTCGTGAGAATCCTTCGCTTCTTCAACAGCATGCAGTCGACGCGTCCTCTAGCTCGTCCCCTCGTTGGGTTCCTCGGCGCTGCTTTGTGTTCTTATACTACAGGGACGGAATAATACTTCATCATCGACAGGCCTTGCATCCAGTTCCTTGTCATCTACTTCGGTCTTTTGTCCACTCAGACCAGTTAATCCGTGTCTTATAATAGTTTATCTTCCCTCGAATCTATAAGAAAACGCTTAGGCTAAACCACCTCGACGTAGAAATATCATAGGTCGAATCGTCATCACATAATCCTCGAGGGATTCTTCCACAGTCTGTCAGTCTGCGAAATCCGTGGGTCCACCTATGGAGGGTACGGATCCTGCGTTCTTGCTACCGCACATTCAGAACCGTGGAGGTCCGCAAAACGCGCTTTACAGGTTCCGCGGAGTGCGCCAGCGCACGTGGGGGCGGTGGGTGGCGGAAATCCGCGACCCGGAGCGCAAGGTGCGCCAGTGGCTGGGCTCGTTCGCGACGGCGGAGGAGGCCGCGCGCGCGTACGACGAGGCGGCGCTGAAGCTGTACGGACCCGACGCGCACCTCAACTTCCCCCCGCCGCGGGAAAGCAATCCCGCGAATCGCGCGCAGCGTCACGCCGCGGCGGAGCCGGATCTGCACGTCGCTCGGGAGAATTTCGACAGAGAAATTACCAAGGCTCGTCTTTCAGGGTTGATTGGATCTGACGGTTTCGCAAGCGTCATGCCAGGGTTGACGGCGACAGGGTTGGCCGGATTGACTGGATTGACTGGATTGACTGGATTAGCAGGCCTAAACGGGTTTCAGAACCACGGAAGGTCACCAGGGTTGACCGGATTGACTGGATTGACTGAATTAGATGGCATAAACGGGTTTCAGAGCCACGGAGCGTCACCTCATTGTGCCGTATCGGACAGCACATGGTGCCAGTTATCACCGGGGGCGCGGACAGCGCTGGCGCGCATCAGCCAAGGCAATCAATTCGGTCACCAATACGGTGTTGGCGCCGCTACTAGCAGTGATGGTGGTGGCGCGGCCATTAACGGCGTCAGCCACGGTGGCGGAGCTCGGGTTAGTTCTGAGGGAGGTGTGATTCAACTGCCGGTTCAAGGAGCGGCGGGTCACTTAATCCATCCACTCGGGACGACAATGGCCATGGCCATGGCTCCTCGCTCAGCCAGCGTGCCGAGCGGCAGCGCGACGAGCTTCACGGAACCCGCGAGTCCCAGGCGAGTGGGCGTGGAGCTCCCGTTAGAGAAGGCCCACAGCCTCGACGCGCTCCCCTCGTTCCAATCACAGTCGCCCAGCGTGGGATTCCAACGGGCGGTCACGGATCGTGGCGCGAGACTGGCTGGGGATGGTTCACAGCAAGAAGAGGTGAAGTGGCAGCGGTACCAGCGGAAGCGGAGAGCAGTGGCGGAGGAGCAGAGGGAGATGAGGGAGCTGGAGGACCTGTTGGATAAGTACAAGCGGCGGCAGCAGGTGCGGCAGCTGCTGTCCGAGGCTGATATCGTCCATCAGCGGGAGATGCTTCTGACAGGCCCGGAGGTGCAACCCGTGATGCAGCAGCAGCAGCAGCAGCAGCAGCAGCTAGCCCCGCAGCCTGGTCCTGGGGCCACTCGCGAAGGTGCAATCATCAGAAGTGCTGCTAACGCCAGGTTCTCTGGTAGAGCAGCAGGTGACGGCCTTCCGGGGAACGAAAATGAGCTCCTAGCAAAGGGTTTGGTGAGCAGCAAAGACATCGCCAGGTTCATCCTGGACCAGAAGCTGTCATCGGGTGGTGTAGCGTCAAATGCAGGCCCTTCCACTGTCCCACCCACAGTTCCCGGAACTGCACCGATGGTGCACACGGATCGAACTGGTGTGTCAGATGAGTCGCCCCTTGTGTCACATAAGTTTAGAGATGTGAGCAGGTTGCTGCAAGTGACAGACTGCCACCTGGCTTCGGCGATTGCCACTGGTGGCTTAAACAGTGAAGGCCATGAAGCTGTGCGTGGCCATGGGTACAGAACTGGTGCTGGAGCACCAGGGGGGGATCTAGCTACAGGCTTTGCAGCTGACCAACCACAGGCTCGTCAGACCCCAGGGCTTCCAAGCATGAACACTGCAGGACACACGCAGGATCTTCGAAGAGGTGCTGTTTCTTCGTTTATGGGTGAGCCGATGGTGGGAATTCGTAACAGTGTGAATGGTTTGCCATGCACAGGTCAAAGTAGAGGAGATAACATGATGGAGATTCCAGTAGATGGTGTTGGTTCTCTTGGGATTTCTCCCGAAATGGAGGCCATTTCAGGTCTCATTGGTGAAGAGGCTGCTCAGATTCTGCTCCAGGAGCTCCTGTGCAAAGGAGACATTGCAGTAGGCAATAGCCAGTGGGGCATTTGAGTAGAATAGGAATTATATATGAGTGGTGCTTACGTGGACCACAACATGTAGCTCACGTAAAATTGATTTGAATGGTATTATTAGTATTTTTTATATGAGCTGCATTTTCCTGATTCGAAGTCCTACGTGGCAAAATCGTGTATTCTAGAAGGGCGAGACAGACGGTTCGCGAATTTCTCAAGCGGACTGTGTACCGACGTCTTGCTCTGTGTCAGGTTTCGCGAATCTCAGGGCATGCAGGTGGTTCTCGTGCACTCGTCACCATATTCCATCGCCCAGTATGCTCTGACCAGAGCTCTGTAGCGCATATTACCGTCTAATACCGTGATGAAACTTACGTCGGAGCCAGATCCCTCAACTTTCGCAAATCTCTAGGGAAGAAACACAACATTGCTTGGTTGGAGGAGTTCCTCGATCGACGCTGTTTATTTCCAGATCCTCGTCATTCATCCGTTCTCATATTTTCCAGGTGAATCGTCGCGTCTCCTCCACCACCACTCACTCCCGATCACCTTTTGGCTTCGCCAGAACGTCCATTCCTCCTAAATCTCGTATCGATCTCGTCCAGTTTCGCAACACTCGCCTCCATGGCAAAGTACGGCGAGGGCGACAACCGTTGGATCGTGCAGGATCGAGCGGACGGCGCGAACGTGCACAACTGGCACTGGGCGGAGAAGGACTGCATGGAATGGTCGCGGCGGCGCCTGGGGGAGCTGATTGGCGGGCTGACGGTGCTGGAAGGGGAAGGCGGGTGCTGGATCCGCACGGGAGCGATTGAAAAGGTGGATGGCGAGGCGTATGTGAACATTCGGAAGGGGAAGATCATTCCCGGGTGAGCTGAGCTTTCAGTCAGGTTTTTCTGTACTGGGGTGGTGGAGGCCTGATCAGCACAAGCACTGTCGAGCAGGTCGTTGATGAGGCTATGATGATGTTTGAGGCGCCTCATAACTTGTCTTCAGTTTCTGATCTTGGTCAGGTTTTGAAGGAAATCCTGAAAAATGCAGGCGTATTTCGGGATTGCTCGAAACTTCCGTTGAATATCATGGCGCAGCATGCCCTCAGCTAGAACCGAGTTCCACCAGGAACCCTACTTTTTCCCTTCCCCATCCCCCCTTCTCCCTAACCCACTCCCCCTCCCGACTATTAGCTATGAGCCTGACGAACCCTATCTTTCAATTCTCCCGTCAGCTTCCCTCCTCTCACACCTCCTCCGCCAACCAGCGACTAGCCTAACAAACTCTACCTTTGCCTTTTCCCGTAATCCCCCGTCCCCATTAACCAATCAGCTACGAGCTTCACGTCCGTCTCGGCTGGGAGGGCGAGGTCAAGGACTCCGCCGACGCTCAGCCCGTCGCGTCCGTTAAAGGCTTCGTGGAACTGCCTTATATCGCGGACGAGAACCACGACGAGGATCCCGAGGTGAAGATTGCCCTGGCCACGGAATCCGCAGAAGGAAACGGTGGAGGGTCGGCAGCAGCCAATAGGCTGCGAGATGCGATGCTGGCGCGAGGCAAGCCGCTTATTCTGGAGAGAATCCGCACGTTCGTTAAAGACATCCAGGCTGGTGGTCCCGCCAGGGACGAGTTAGAAAAGGCTAAGGTAGTGAAACCAGCAGCGGCGGCGTCAACAGCAGCACCAGCAGCAGCGCCTGCAGCATCAGGAGCAGGAGCAGCAGCAGCAGCAGCGGCGGCAGGAGCAGGGTCTGCGCCTGCTGCTGCTAAAACCACCGCGAGCACAGCCCCAACCAGCAAGAGCAAGAAAGAGAGCAGCAGCAGCAGCGGAGCTGGGAAGAAGTCGATTGCCATCACCCAGAGGTTCCACTGCCGGCCGTCGGATCTGTACGAGACGCTGATGGATGAGAAGCGGTGGATGGCTTTCACTCAGTCCAAGGCGAAACTGTCGCGGGACATAGGGGGTACCTTTTCGTTGTTTGATGGGTCCGTGACAGGTGTCAACCAGCGGTTGGACGAGAACAAGCTGATTATGCAAAAGTGGCGGTTCAGTAGCTGGCCCGATGGGCATTACTCCACGGTGAGTGTGGGCAATGGTATACAGTATTGGGCAACAGGGATGGGTGATGTGAGTGGTTAATAGGAGTGAGTGATAAGAGTTGGCGAGAGTAGTACTAGATGGCAGTTATGTGGCAGTAGTGGGTGATATTAGTAGTGGGTGTTTGTAGTTATGGGTGCATATGGTAGTGGGTCATTACGTCACAACCTTCACACTATCTGTTTCCAGACTTTTGTGCACTGGATGCTCAATTGTTGCGCATGTCTGTGCTCTCCTCCTCTAATTGGTGCAGGTGTGCATAACCTTTGAGGAGCCTCAAGTGGGTGACACCATTCTGCGGCTCACACAAACCAACGTGCCTGAAGAGGACAGGTGAGTGCCACAGCGACCAACATTTTTTTAACTGAAATAAAAGAAGCACACTGACGATTTGCGCTTGGAGTAATTTATGTGCTTTTTTGTCATCACTGGTCATCGTTCTGTGATCTTAGCTAATGATGATGATTTCATACGTTGCAGGTTTGGGAATGCCACGGTTTTTGAAACAACCGAACGTGGCTGGAGAGATCTCATTTTTGCTAGGATTCGTGCAGTTTTTGGTTTTGGGGCATAATATGAATTATTGAGTTTTTTAAGAAGTTGTTTCTTGTAGTTTTTTATGTTCGGGGACAGACATTTGTTGTGCCCAGCTGTGCCACTTCTAGTAGCTCGTAGCGCGGACGTAATCTTCAGCTCCGGTTTCCACGATTCCCGTCAACACTTGACCGTCAATTCACAGGTGTTCAGTGAACACTGCTGAATTCAGTCAGGCGCATGTCAGTCAGGCAATCCCAAGCACCTACAGGCTGGGAGGCAAGTCTCGTGCACGAATATCCGCACCAGTCTCCTCGTCATTTCTTGAAGAATGCCAGATTCTGACCTCGGTAGTCAGCATTGAGGCAACCTCGAGGGGTCAATGCCTCAATGCTGGAATTTATAACCTCTGTCTGGAATTTACAAGCATTGGACTAGGATGGTAGCAATTTGGTGAGCGTCGAATTGTTGCGTGACCACGACTGGCTCCAGTAAAGGACTACTAAATAACTAACCACGATTGGCTGCCGCGTTATAGCATAGAGTCTCACGTTGCCAATTAGGCTACTGCGTTGGGTTTTTCGGAAACAGGCGACAATGAGCTCAGTTAATTTCTATCTCTCGCGAATGAAAGGAGTGACGGAAACGCCGACTCCGGCAGCGAAAGTAGAATCGTCGCCACTGGACTCTTCAAGACCAACGGCCGCCTTAAAACCCGTGTCAGAAACAATAGTATCTTCGTCGCAGTCGCAGACTCGGGCTGATGATCCCAGAAAAGCGGTAACTGTGGAATCACAGTCAGCAGCAGAAGCAGTGACAGTCAGATTGCAAGGCTCTGCTGGAGACGTCGACGGCGACGTTAACAATGACGGATCCAAACGGCTATCGGTCAGAGAAATGAGAAATCGCTTCAACGCAACGAACGATCGGGTGCCATTAGCGCCAAAGGCGCCGATTCGGCCGAACACATCGATAGCTGTGGATTGGGTAACCAAGGGCGGGAAAAATGCCGTGCACCGGGGCGACTCGAAGTTCGTCCCTAGGCCTGGTGTGAAGGATGAGGGCTCTGTCGCTGCCACGTTAGCAACCAGGCCTCCAGCTGACAGCAACAGTGCTGTTGCGGACCCTGCTGCTGCTGGCGCAAGTGAAAGTAACACTGGCGACAAAGTCAGCGGGGTCAGTGAGAGCAGCAGTAGTGCTGACAGCGACACGTGGGAGGCTCGGATTCGCGCGCTGGAAGAACAGCTAGAAAAAACGAACGTGGAAACTGCGTTCCTGAAAGCGCGGAACACGGAGCTGCAGGCTCGGCTGTTAGCTAAGGATAACGAGGTGCGCCCTCAAGTGGTGAAAACCAGACTGCCTGTCTCAACCGCAGCAGCAAAGTCAGCGGGAGAAGCGGAGATGAGAGGAGGAACGGGAGGGATTGGCGGTGTTGGCGTGGAAGGGAGAGGCAGCAGCAGTAGCGGGGGTTCTGTTGAGCAAAGCAGCAGTGGCAGCAAGAGCAGCAGCGGTGGGGATGCTGGTAAAAACGACAGCAGTAGCGGCAGAAGCAGTGGCGTCAGCGGTGACGAGGAGAGTGGGAGAGAGGACGCGGTGACAGGCAGAGGAGGGCAATGGAGTACTGTTGAGGATGGTGTTAGCAGCAGCGATCACAACAATAGTGGGATGCCGTTGGAGTTGCAGCTGGCAGCAGCTCACGCGAGGATAGCTGTACTGGAGGTGAGAGGCTGAGGGTTTCCCTGACAGCGGACAGGTAAGCACGTGGGATGCTCTTGCTAATGGTGGGGTTCAGAATTTTGTTTGTTCAGAAGCAGCTCATGCGAGGATAGCTGTACTGGAGGTGAGATGCTGAGAGCTTTGCTGGCAGCATCGCTGGCAGTGGATAGACAAGCATGTTTCGTCTTCCAACTTTTTTCTATCACCTAGAAGTGCATGGTAACATCGCCGCTGCTATGGCTTCCCTGCTATTGCGTCCCTTGCTGTCGCATCCCTTGCCGTTGCCGCTCTTTTCTCCAACATGCTGCTGATTTCGTCCCTGCTGCCTTCCCTCATGCATCTCTCTTGGTGATGCATTCGATCTACCTCTAACAGCCTCCTCAACCCCCACGCACCACCCTTCCTCTCCCCCACCCCACCCCCACTGCCCCCCACAATCCAGAGGCTACTCAAAGCCCGTGCCAATCAGTCTCCTCTCCCCCGCCTCCCCTCCGCCTCCTCCCCGTGGAAGCCCATCCCCCGCCCGCCCATGCCGTCCCCCGCCTCCCAAGCGCCTGCGCAATCCAAACCCCATGTTCTGAGCCGTGTAAAGCAAGAGCCTAGAGACAGCAGCGGTGGGCTACAGCACACGGGCGTGGTGCAGCACACGGGCGTGGTGCAGCACACGGGCGTGGTGCAGCACACGGGCGTGGTGCAGCACACGGGCGTGGTGCAGCATGAGGGGCGGAGAGACGAGGGCTTGTCCGTGAATTCGCAGTCAGGTCTGGGACGCCATGCCGGGATGAACACTGGGATGGGGAACGCGGCTGCTGAGGGGGGTATTGGAATGGGTACGGGAGTGATTAGTGGGGTGGATGTGGAGGTGGGTACAGAGGCGGTGGCGGAGGGAGGGGTGGTGCTGGTGGTGCGGCCGTGGGACAGTGAGGGCGTGGCACGGCTGCAGCAGGAGCTGGCAGAGGCGCAGGCGGTGCAGCAGGCAACAGCGGGGAAGCTCAAGGCGGTTGAGCAGCAGCTGGGAAGACTCTCTGCCGTGCGAGAGGAGGTGAGCTTGGGCGTCAAGAAAGGGATCGGTAAGTTAAGCTGGCAGAGGCCCAGGTGTTGCAGCAGGCGTCAGTGGGGAAGATCGAGGCCATTGGGGGCCAGTAGGTGGGGCGACGCGACTGGCTGGCGTACGAGATGAGGTGCGGCACCAGGCACTGGGTTCAAGTACGTATGGCTATAGGGGGCAGGGTAGTCCCAATTTTTGAGGTGCCTCAAAAGTAGCTGCGGCACCAGGCACTGGGTTCAAGTAGGGCTATACAGGGCAGGGCAGTCTCAGTGCCTGCCATGCAGGCCTATGGTTTCATTTCACAGCTTTCTTTTGCACTTACTCTTCTGCTGCCTCTCCCCTTGTGTCTGCCTATTTCCGGTTGCTTGTCCATGTGTGCAGGGTTACCATGTAACACATGCGGTTCCTGTGCGGCATGTGTACACTCGCAGCTGGGTGTAGCTCGCCCCCTTGTATCCACATATGGTACTGTATTTGCAACTTGGGTTGTGTAAAGAGGACAATGCCTTCCAGATGTTTTGATTCACATGTTACAGCTTAACTAAAGGACCTTGCAGAATGGTTATTCTCTCTTCACTAAAAAGGACCTTGATGGACATCAATCTTCTCATCAGTGCCACATCTAACCAAACCAGTGCAAAAAGCCAGTAAAACAATAGTTTCAGTAACAGTGACTACACTACACCTTGCCCTCGTACTTGTAAGATTCGTCATAGCTTTGCTTCAAGCGGGCAAGAGCGGCCCTTCGGGAATGACCTGCAGGGGGATAATACGGTGAAGGGGAGGATAAAGGAGACACTAAGAAGGGACAGCACTTCATGGGGCCAGGAAGAAGGGAAAGACAGCAAGGGAGGAGGACACTCTATGGGATGTACAAGTGAGGCAGGAGATAATGGAAGGGTGGAGGGGAGGAGAAGGGGGGAGGAGTGGAGGAAAGGAGGGAGGGTACTGTCTGGATCCGAGCGCCATGCACAGGAACTTCAGGCCGTGACGTGCGGTGCGCACACATCCTTAAGTGCGAGGCACAGGCGTGGTAGCAGGCAAGGGACGGTTGGTGGGGATGATAGACGAGAGGAGGAGAGGGGAGGACAGAGGGGAGTGATAAAAGAGAGGATAGAAGCAAGTGAGGGTTCTGACCTGATATGGCAGGCATCGGTACGGCAGCAAGGGAAGGCTAGAAGATAGAAGGGAAGGGAGGGTTCTGACCTGATCCGAGCGCCATGTGCAGGAACTGCAGGTCGTGCGGTGCGCACACATCCATAAGCGCGAACGCCCCTGGCTCCAACGCTGCTTCCACAGTGCTGCGGGGTTGAATGCGGTGGAGTGGGGTGGATGGGAGAGGGTTGCTTGTGGTGATGGTATGAGGTGGTTGCTTGGATGGGGTGACATGGTGATGGGGTGATGTACTTTTGTGCTGATGTGCTTAGGTGGTGCTGTGCTTATGCAGTGATGTGCTGTCGCGCCGTCGCGCTGATGTGGTGTAACATATTCCTGTGCTCATAATGTTGATCCATGAGCAGACACATGACCCAGGAGTAGCAACAGCAGGAAAGCAAGACAAGCTCTGAATTCTCTAAAAAACACACCTGGGCAATCCGATAACCTGCTGCTGCTGTTGGTTGCTCTGCTGACCAACACCAGCTCCAGGGCTGATGGGATCGAAGCTAGCAGTGGTGAAGGGCGACTGAAGCTGCTGGAGCAGAGCTGCTGCTGGAGTGGTGGGTGAGGCGGTGGCGACGGTGGCAGTGGTGGTGATGGCGATGATGTAGTCTGCCAATAGCAGCGGACAGATCTTGCTGAGCGTGGTACGCTGCTCCGATACCTGCCATGCAGATAGGAAAGGGATGGGAGAGATGTAAATAGGATGGTAGTGTCATGAATCTGGTCAGTTAGTGGCAGTGGTGGTGGTGGTGGTGGTGGTGGTGGTGGCGATGATGTAGTCTGCCAATAGCAACGAACAGATCTTGCTGAGCGTGGTACGCTGCTCCGATACCTGCCATGCAGATAGGAGAGGGATGGGAGAGATGTAAATAGGATGGTAGTGTCATGAATCTGGTCAGTTAGTGGCAGTGGTGGTGGTGGTGGTGGTGGCGATGATGTAGTCTGCCAATAGCAACGGACAGATCTTGCTGAGCGTGGTACGCTGCTCCGATACCTGGAGTGTGGAGAAGGGGAGGATGGAGGTGAAGTGAAATGAGGATGGGAGTGAAGGGAAATGAGGATGGGAGTGAAGGGAAATGAGGATGGGAGTGAAGGGAAATGAGGATGGGAGTGAAGTGAAATGAGGATGGGAGTGGTGGGTGTAGCGGTGGCTACGGTGTCAGTGGTGGTGATGGTGATGTTGCAGTCTGCCAATAGCAGCGGACAGATCTTGCTGAGAGTAGCGCGCTGCTCCGATTCCTGTTATGGAGAGGAGGAGAGGACGATAGAATAAGAGTAAAGTGAAACCAGTCGGAGGAGGATGGGAGTGACATGAAACTGGTCAGACGATATGGTCAGCAAGCAGCAGCGGGCAGATCTTGTTGAGCGTAGAGCGCTGCCGATACCTGTTATGGAGAGGAGGAGAGTAGGAGAAGAGGAGAGGAGGAGAGGAGGAGAGGAGTCAAATTATAACAGTAAGCGATGACAGGATGCCTTGTTCAATTGATCTTTTGTTCATTGACAGGATGGCAGGCAAGTGACAAGGAAGGGGAGGGAGTAAAAGCTTCTATCTTGAACAAGTGAGATTCCATTGTTGCCAAAAATGAGTAGGAGGGAAGGGACTCGCTTGCGATTGGCAGTGTGAGGGGGAAGCAATGAAGGAGAAAGCATCAACAGGAGCAGAGTGGGAGACGGGGTCTCGTGGCTGCCAATCACCACACAGAACCATACCATCACCACACAGAACCATACCATCACCACACAGAACCATACCATCACCACACAGAACCATACAATCACCGTACAATCGCCGGACAGCACCGCGTAGCACAGCACTGCATAGCACAGCACCGTATGCACTGACCTCATCATACACCCGTCTCAGCCATAGCGCACAGCTGGCAGCCGTGGCTTCATTATAGTCACAAGCGAGAGGCAGAGAAGAGAGGTTGGAGGAGAGAGTGGAGGAGGAGGCGAGTGCTTGCGAGGAGGACGATGGGGAGGGGGAGGAGAAGAAGGGGGAGAAGGGCGAGAGGAGGGTGAGCATGCAGCGGAGGGATTGAACGAGGAGCGCCATGCTGTATCGCACATAGCTGTTGCCATGCATGGCATGCAAGGGTGGGGTGGGGTGGGGAGCAAGGAAGGGAAGGAAGAAGACGCGATGAGGATGGGAATATCCCAGAGTGAGTAAGTGAGTGCATGAGCACTTTTTAGAGTGCATTACTATGTCGTCAAAATGCGTTGAAATAACGGTGTTGCTGTGAGTGTGCATCCTGCACGGCTCCTAGATGATGTCTATAAGCGACAAGTGCTGAGATGAAGCTCACAAGAGATAGAAGGGTAGGGAGGCTGCTGCATGCAAAACACTACGAGATAGTACCGTAACACGTGCTGGTATGAGCAGCAATTCACACATACCGGCTCCTCTGACGAATGATAGCACAAAGCAGCTGGCAGAAACCAACAAACAACGCCGCCCGTTCGCCCAGGCCCATGCCAACGGACGAATCAGGAGAAGCTGCAATGGAGGGCAGAATGAGGTTCGGGCAGGCGAGACCCAGGCTGACGTGGCCTGCCCGAAAAGGGAAAATTGCGCTCCGGGCAGCGAGAGTCGTGAGAGCTGACAGGCTGTGATGGCAGATGGTGAAAAAACTGGCGGGAGTAATGGAAGGAGCGGGTGAGAGGTTGAGCCAAGGAAAGAGTGAGGGAGCGAGTGCGGGTACCGAGGGGACGTGAAAGGCGGAAGAGTCGGAGGATGGATAGAGACTGGAGAGAGAAGAGAAGGGTGAGAGAGTGTGGGGGAGTGTGTGCAGGGGAGTGTGAGGGAGAGTGTGAGGGGGAGAGTGAGGGAGGGACTGAGAGTGTGTGTAGGAGGTAATGGCTTTGAAGAGTAGGGAGGCGAGGAGGGGCGAGCGGGCAGCAAGGAAGTGCAGCGACTGGCCGCTGGGGCAGCTGTGAATGAGCTTCTCTGCCAGCACTGCCACCGCATCCAACCCTATTGGACCGTTCTCCAATCCTGCTGAGCTGCCAAACTCCGTTGAGAGGTCCCCTTCTGCATGAGCAGCACTCCCCTTGATATACGTGCTTTGCCCGCTGCCCCCAGCCCTCGCCTGCAGCCTTGCCTCTCCTCTCTCCTCTCCCCTCTCGCCTCCCCTTTCCCCTTCTCCCAGCCCTGCCCACCCTCCTCCAGCGCCCCCCTCCAGCTGCAAGGCGAGCTCGTGCCTGCAGGTGCGGAAGACCACTGCCACCCACCCGTGCCACGCCCACTGCACAAACTGCTTCAACGCCCCGTCTGTGGCTTGCAGCAGCGATGCCACCACTTGCCGTGCTGCCTCTACTTCCGCTGCTGCTGATCCTGCAGAAAGCGACAGCGACTGTGACTGTAAGGAGAGGGCGGAGAGGAGCGCCAGGTGGACTCGCACGATTCGCCGGAAGGCGGAGGCGGGGGGGTGGGGGGAGACGCAGCGGAGCATGCGTGTGCCAGCCACTTGAGTGTACTGCAGCACTGCGAGGAGGAGGGGCGCGGCAGAGAGCAAAACAGAGGGGCGAGACACGGAACCCGCACCTTCTGGTCTCCATCCCCGTGCTTCTGGTCTCCATCCCGGTGCTTCTGCTCCTGCTGGGACCGCTCCTGTGACAGCAGTGGGAGATGTGGCAGTTGGGGTAATGGCAACTTCAGCGAATTCAGAAGAGGGTGTTGTAGCTGGAGGAGCATGTGCACCCCGTTGCAGCAGCAGGGAGGCGTGGTGGAGAATGAAGAGTGCGGATGCCAGCCTGGGCTGCACTGCGCTCTCAACAAACGCACGTGACAAAGTGTACCTCTTCTGTGCTTCTACCCGTTCTCCTCCCACAGCTCTCCGCTCCTCCTCCTCTTGCTCCTTCTCTTTCTCCTCCTCGTGGTCCTCCTCTCCCTCCACCTGTGCACCCCACTTCCCCGTCCTCTCTTTCCTTCTCCCTCGCCCTCGCCCTCTCCCTCCCTCTTGAGCTGTCTGTGCAGCCTTCTCCGTCCCACCTTCTCTCGCGGGTTCTTTATCGCCCTCACTCATGACTAGCGCGCACCTGAGGTGCAGCGCAGCAGCGGCACCAGAGAACAGGTGGGCTGCTGTCACGCAATCGGATGTGCTTGTAAGGAGGCAATTGAGGGTGTGTTTCTGCGAGTCTGGAAGGTGGTAACTGCGTAACCAGCTCTCCTCCCACTCTGCACCTTCTCCTCCTCGTCCCACTTCTCCTCCTGCTCCTCCTGCTGCTCCTCTCTCTGTCTTGGAAGGTGACTGGGGACGTGGCTTCTTCCCCCGCTTGCTGGCACTTGCATCTCCATCCACTTCCATCTCATCCCCAGTCTCCTCGTCACTCTCCTCACTCTCCTCCTCACTCTCCTCACTCCCCTCACTCTCTTCCTCACACTCTTCCTCACTCTCCTCTTCCTCACTCTCTTCCTTACTGTCCTCACTCTCATTCTCCTCACCATCATCGTCCTCAGCCTCACTTTCCTCTTCCTCGCTCTCCTCTTTATCACTCACCTCCTCATCTTCCTCCACCCTATCCCCACCTATCCCCTTCACATCACCAATACCATCCCCATCACCACCAACATCCCCACCACGCACATCAAGCAAACCACCATCCCTAGCCACATCAAACCCCAGTTCACGCAGTGGCGTCCAATCAAAACCATCGTCCATTTCTTCTCCTCCCACCTCCTCTTCCTCCCCTTCCCCTCTTCCCCCCTCTCTCCCCTTCTCACTCTCCCCCAGCATCCCCCTCAACGCCCCTTCAACAGCAGGCTCGAGGCAGCCAATCAGAGCACGCCACGTGGCAGGAATCCGACCGCCCCATCGTGCAAGCAATGACCCGTCTCCCCCCTCCTCCTTCCCCCTCCCCTCCTCTCCAACAGCTGTAGCCGAACCCACTGTATCACTAGCAAACGCTACAGCCGGTGCTGCTGACTCATCGCCACCGTTTCTCAATCCGTCTGCTACAGCTGCCATCTCCCACAGTGCTCCCGAACACACAGCTGCCGCTACAGCCGCTGCAGATATCGCAGCAGCAGCAGCCGGTGCCACGGGTGCTACAGATGCTGGCGCTGCTGCTGCTTCAGCTGTTACAGCTGATGCAGCATCAGCAGGAATGGGGTAGCAGCGGGGGACAGAGACAAGGATTTCAACGGAGGAAATGAGAGCAGTGGCGGTTTCGGGATGGGAGTGAGACAGACAGGCAATGGCAGTGCCAATATCCTTCCCCTCGCCGCTCTCCTTGCTCCCCTCAGTACCACCATCCAACATGACCCCATGCACTGCCATGCCTACTGCTGTTCCACTCGCTGCCATCATTGCCTCCCATGCATCCTCATCCCCCAATGCGTCCCCAACCTCCAATGCCCCCCCAGCCCATGCCCTCTCCTCCCCTTTCCTTCCCTCCTGCTGCTTCCTTCGGTTCACCACACCTGCTCCCAACGAGCCTACCACCAGCCACGGCAGCAGCTTCGGCACTGGACCAGACCCTGGCTCGGGACAACTTGGTTCGGAACGAGTGGGTTGGGAGAGGGATTGGTGGAGGCAGAGAAAACGAAGGAGGGCAATTCTGCAGGCAAGGGAGCAGTTCATGAGAAGAGAGGAGGAAGAGGAAAACGAGTGCTGCTGCTGCTGATGATGTTGGTGGTTCGATAAAGTTTGAATGTGACTGTAATGAGAGGGAGTTGTAGGTGAGGGAGGAGGGAGCAGCAGAGGCGCCATGAAGCACCGTTCCACGCCAGCAAGGCATTCGACCAATCGCAGCGCATCTGAAGCCGTCCAGCAGTCAGGGGGGACAGCCTGTAGCAGCTGCAGCAGCACCAGCACCAGATCTACCTCCCCTGGATCTACCTGCCACTCCCCCTCCCTATCCCTTTTACCCTTCCCCTTCTGCTCTCTCCCTTCTCTCCCACCCTCCTCCCCATCCTCCTCCTCTTCTGATGAGTCAGAATCTGTGCCTGCTGAGTCAGCATCAGGGATTTGAACAAGATGGAGGACTGAATCCGCCAGCTCAGTAGCTGCCTGATCAGCCAACATGGCGAGCATACTCCCTGAAAACTTCTTCTCGTTAGTATCACTCACGTTACTATCACCTTTACCACTCACCCCAGTGGAGTCGTCTCCTTCCTTCCCTTTTTTCTTCTTTCCTTTTCTTTTTTTTGAACTGCCCTCTGAAGTCATTTGTCCTTCTCTTCCTGCGTGCTCATTGCCTGGAATTGTTTGGGCAGACAGCAGTGAAACCAAGCCAGCCTTGCACGTTTCTGCTAGGGCAGAAGGTGGGCAGGTGGTGGAGAGTTTCAGGCTGCCCTTCACAGCTGCCCGCAGATTAGTCACAAATGACTTGGCCAAAACGTGACGAATATTCTGCAAGCACATGTGAGTGTGGGGGAAAGAAAATGATTGATGTGAGGGATAAAAGGGATGACATACCTTTGGGGGAGGGGATTGCGCGGGACTCAATAATAGTAAGTTTACTAAACAATTATGAGCAGCAGGTAGCAGGGAGAGAAGTTTGGGTGGGCCGGGGGGAGGGAGGAGGAAGGAGCAGTGATTCGGGTGAGGTGAGGGGATGCGTGAGAAAGATGGAATGGAAGCAGTGCATTCAACAGAAGCACGTATCCCAACCAGACGCCACTCACCTCAATCTCGAAGAACACGGGATTCCGCAGCGCCGCCAGAGCCGCCACAGCCCTACCTCCTGCACCCCCCGCCACCTCCTTAACACCTACTGCACCACCAAGCACCTCCCTAGCAGCGAGGGCGAGCAGCAGCAGCACAAACTCCCTAACGGCGGGGCGAGGGGCAGCGGGGATCCACAGGGGGAGAGCGGAGGAAGCAGCAAGGGAGAGGTACGCCGCGTTGAGATCCCCGCTGCTGCTGATGCTGCCCACTGTTCCGTCCCACTGCCTCCCCCTCCTGCTCGGATACCTATCGCTTCCCTCGTGCGTTTCCTCCTTCCTTCCCGCTCCGGCGTCCTCTTTCCCGCCTGTTTCTCTCCCCATCACCACCCACCGGCTCCGCCCCTCTCCCGCCCCCACACACCCGAACGACAGCTCATGGGCCACAGCAGCAGCCAGCGCACCAACACCACTCCCCACTGCTCCATCTTCCCCCACACCCCGCGCTCCCTCTGCTCCTCCCCGCTTCACCTTCTTCCTCCCCTTCCCCGCCTCTGCTGCTGCCTCCGTCTCTCCCCACAGTCCGCCACTCTTACCACCCGCACTGCTCGCACCCAGAGGCAGCACCGGGGAGAGGGAGGAGAGGGCAGTGGTAGCAGCAGAGAGAGTCAGGAAGCGCAGCCGAAGCAGCTCTCTGCTTTCCTCCCCTTGCTGATCCTCTTCCTCATGCTGCTGCTCTTGTTCCTCCTCTGCCTTTCCATTCATCACTCGGTTCAGCCAGCCAATCACAAACCGCCATCTGGAAGCAGGCTGCCCCAAAGCAGCAGCTCCAGCAACCTCCCCTGCCGAACCTGTCCCTGCCAAACCTAACTCTGCCGAGCCAGTTTCTGCCAAGCCTGGCACGCTTACAGCAGGATCGAGCGGGAGCGGGAACGAGAGGCTGAAGCGGTGGCCCATTTTGGACTCTTCTGAGGGAGGTGCATTGTACAGACACCGCAGGTGCAGCTCATGGGCAGCCAGAAACATTTCAAGGCCTGCCCCGATGCTTGCTGCCGCATGGCGAACAAGGGTAAGAGCAAGGTCGGCAGTAGAGTCCTTCCCATTCCCATTCCCATCCATCCAATTGGTTCTTGCCAGCACAGCAGCCACCCACTTGCCCACCACAGACCGCCCAAGGGACTGCACTAGACGACAGACGTTGCCGTCCACCTGGATGGCGGTTCCCAGTGCAACAGGCAGGCTGCGGAGCACTGTAGCAACGAAGCTGGAAGCCGCCCAGGTGAGCCTATCCTGTGCTCCCTGCATCTGAGTTTTCACCTGAGAAACCACCTGGTCAGCCTTCCCCTTCTTTGCCTTCCTCCCCTTCTGTTTCTCCTCCTCGCCCCATCCCACACCCTCCATTTCCTCTTTCTTTCTCCCTCCCTCAGAGTCACCCTCCCAACCAACCACCAGCATAACCTGCTCCTCCCCGAAGCTAAGCAGCAGGCTCGGCACCTGGCCTGGAGGGACCGCAGCAGCAGCCTCCCGGACCACCGAGAGGAGGTCCGGCGACGACAGGAGCGCCGCAGATGCTGCCACTGCTGCAGGCGATTCCGATGCTACCAAGGAGGGCAGGGTAGAAGGTAGCGCGAGAAGAGGTCGCCTGGAGCCAAGGGTGGAAGAGAGAATGGCTCGGATGGCCAGCACTAGCTGTATATGGGAACAGAGGGATGTGCAGCGACAGAACAGCAGAAGAGAACCGGGACAGGGACAGGGAAGAGCAGGGCCAGACAGGGCAGGGCGTGAAGAGGTTGGGTGGAGGATAAAACGGCAAATAGGACCAGCAGCAGCTGCTTAGGGAGAGAGGGATGAGTAACGACGAACCACACACAGGGTGGGTCGGGATGAACAAGGCAAAGCAAAATGTACGGGGTGTTGCGTGTCTCACACACATGCACGCCTGCTTGCTTGCACGCATGCACACGCACACACACACGCACGCATGCACGCACACATACACACACACACACACACACACACACACACACACACACACACACACACACACACACACACACACACACCTGTCGCATATCTTTCCACGTCACCAACAGCTGACTGGCAATCTTGACTGCCGCCACCCACACTGCCGCCCACCCTGCCGCCCGCTGCTCCTCCAACATCCGCTTGTTACCACCTGCATCAAACCCTTCCGATCGTGCCTTCTCACACGCAGTGCAAGCCCCAATCACAAGCTGCCACGTGGCGTCATGCAGGCCATCCACGAGCACCACCACCCTAGGCTCCAGCCGAACCAGCCCCCAAAGCAGCTGGAGAAGCTCGGCCCAAACCTGAGCTGCTGCTGCGTCCCCTTGGTGCCTCCCATCACCATCACCGCTAGCACCGGCGACAGCAGAAGCAGTAGCACCTATACCAGGCTTCTGTACAATGTCCCACATGCGCCACGCACTGCCCACCTCCCCTGCCAGCCCAGCCAAGTGCAACAGCAGACCCAGTCTCGTCGCCCCTCCCTCTCCCCCTGCTCCTGCTTCTACTCCTACCCTCCTTCCTCTGCTTCGTCCGCTGCTGGTGTGGCCGCGGCTGCTGCCAATGCTGCTGTCGCTTACGTCTGACAGCCCATCGTAGATACCCTCCTCTATGGCAGCGTCCACCATTGCCCTTGTGCCACGTAGCACAGCTGCCAGGCTGGCAGGATCCGCAGCACTGCTTGCTGCCGACTGGTTACCACCTCGGCTTGCTTTGCCTTGGTGCTGCTGCTGCTGCTTTCGGTGCTGCTGGGACCACTGGTGCTTGTGGTGGTGGTGGTGGTGGTGCTGCTGCTGCTGCTGCTGCTGCTGCTGCTGCTGCTGCTGCTGCTGCTGGTGCTGCTGCTGCTCTGCCTGCGCGCCCCCCTGTGTGAGCGCCACCACTTGGCCTCGCAGTTCGCCTATCAGCGGCCTCAGCAGATGCGCAAAAAGATTGAACCGCGACTGCAACAGCTGAGACACTTCCGGATCATCTGCACCCAATACTCCTCCCATACCTCCTCCCTGCCCTCCCCCTCCTCCTCCTCCTCCTCCTCCTCCTCCCCCTCCTCCTCCTCCTCCTCCTCTCCCTCCCCCCACTTCCACACCCCTTTCCCCTGCCTTCTCCTCTCCTTCTCCCTCCCCTCCATCCCTATCACCACTCACCCCTCCTTTCCCCCCCTGAACTGCTGCTTTTCTCCTCTTCCCCCTCCCTCCCACCTCGCCTACTCTCTCTCTTGCAATTTCCACCACACTCCGGGAGTAAATCCCAAACACCCACCCAAGGCTGTGCAGGATCGGCACGTTCCCGGACCTGATCCCAGCCTCGAGAAACGCCAGGAACTGCCGGTGGTAGCTGCCGAACCTGCCTTCCTCCCCCAAACCTTCCACATCTCCATCACCCTCACCCTCACCCTCTGCCGCCCCCCCAACATTCCCTCCCTTCCGTCCATGTCTTGACTCCCCAGGTGTTTTCTCAGGTGTTCCTCTGTTGCATGTTCTCTGCCCACCCATTCCCCCAACCTTACCACCACCACCACCACCCACACCAGCAGCCATAGCAGTAGCTATACCCGCGCACTGGGACACATACCCCTCTGCATGCACGCGTCCAAACAACGCCTCCTTCACAATCACGTCCATTGCAGATAAGACTAAACCCACCGTGTCCTCCCCCAACTCTCCTCCCCCCTTCCCCAGCCGCCCCTGACCCTGAACGAGGTGTGTCCTTAGCTGCAGCACAAGGGGCAGCAGGCGAGAGAGCACAGCAACAAACACCTTCTTGCCCTGCGGGTGGCTTGATGCGAACACACCAAACCCATGCAGACACACACTGCACACCCGCCCCCACTCGTCCGCTGCTCCTGCTGCCGCTGCCGCTGATGCTGATGCTGGTGATGCTGCTTTTACGGATGATTCATTATTGCCTCCGAGCCATAGCAGGCTCTGAAGAAGCTGCAGGGAGGCTCGGACCAGACCGACCCAGTGCTCCAGGCTCGGATGGAACGCCACTGGGCTTGACGCTTTGAACCCCACGCCTGGCGCTCCCAGAGATTTCAGATCCGACGCGCTGAGCCTGCCTGTCAGGCTCGGCATCAAGAGAACAGTGAGCAGGGCGTGAAGGCTCCGTCCTATAGATGGCACTTCCCCTGCTGCCGCTGCTGCTGCTGCTGCTGCCGGTGCTGGTGCTGCTTGTCCTGATTTATTCAGAATTCTGTGAAGGGCATTGTCTTGAGTCATTGCAGAGAGCAGCGCCGTGATTGGCTGGAAGAGGTTGGACGAGACGACCAGCCAACCAGGATGGTGCTGCAGCAGCGAGAGAGACGCAGACAGAACGAACCAATAGCGTGCATCCATGAGAGCAGGGGCCGAATCTCCGTCCCTCCCCTTCCCCGCATCCCCCTTACCTTCCCCATCGCCTTCTACTTTCCCTCCCCCTATCCCTTCCCCCTCCGCTTTGCCTCCCGCCTGATTCTTCCGCCTCTTTCCCCCCTTCTCCCCAGCAAGCTTCTCTGCCGAGCCTGGCGTTCCCGAGCCAGGCCTGGCTCGTTTGGAGCCCGAGCCAGCGCCAGCAGGTCCGGGGCGGATGGATCGGAGGAGGGACAGCTGCGCGAACTCGAAAACGGCGCGCAGTGCGTGTAGGCGCGCCTGGGAACCCCATTCCCCCCACATGCCCGCAGATTCCGCGGGGGACCGGAAGCCTTGCTCCCCTGCCAATCCTTCCGCAGGAGCGTTATCCCCGTCGGTGGTAACTGTTTTACCAGCGATCTTCTTGCTCTTCTTCTTTCGCTTGCCGGCTGTGGCTTCCGCATCAATGGGTTCCTCAGCGGTTGTGACACCAGGAGGTGGGTGTTTTCCATTTTCGCCCTGTGCGACCTGCTGCGATTGCTGACCGGACCGTGTCACGTGGCGATTCCTATCCTCCTCCACGAAATATTGAAGGAGATTGATCGCGCACGAGAGCACTCTGCGAGGCGGTTTAAGAATGACAGGGGTTAGGGTGTAACAGGATTAAGATTCCGGGTTTAGTAACAGCATTATGGAAGTGACGGAACGTCAACGCGGACTACATAACGTACCTTTCCGGCGGTTCTCTTCTGGACACGGCGATTTGGGCAACGGCCAAAGGCGACAGCACCGCGTCAGGTGTCGCCATTTTACCTTGAAGGGCCTGTTCAGCAACCACACTCTAACCAGGTAAACTTGGTTGGGTTATGGGGCTATCATAGGCACTCGATTCACGCATATTCGGACTAAGGTATTCATCGTGTCCGAAGTAGAATAACACGAGACTTATGCATGTTGATAATGGCGAAAATACTATTATTTTCTTATCGAATGTAAAAGAGTTATTCAATCAATATTTTTTTTTCAACGAACACCACATAGCATATAGTTTTTATTTGCGGTTTCAATCTCTGATGGATGTCATACCAGATCAATATAATATAGCTGATATTTTTTAGAGTGTTTTTGAAGCGCGAGTTCCAAGCATTCGGATTGGCCTGGCTCTGACACGCCCCGCCAATTTCAAGGTGTGATGTTGTAGAAAGCGCGGGAACCCAATCCAGCAACCCAATCTACTCTCAGGGTCACATGACCACATGCCAGCAGAACCTGCTTGGGTTCATCACGCCCGTCCATCTGCCGTTCGTGTTTTCGACTCACCGTGCTCTGTCTTCTCTTCGTCTTCCATATCTGCACAAAATATTTCCGCGACAAAGCTCTTTCGTGGCTTCATTTCTACTATCACGGACTAGGCAACACGGATCGGTTGTTATTGTCAGGCAATACCCTTGGATCCGTTCCAGCTACAAGGTGGTAAAGTCTGCATCTTTGTATCGTGGTGGCATCAGTCGTGGATGCTGCTCATTCTTCGTCAGATCAAATAACCCGACAGCTATCTTACCACTGACCAAAAACAATATACACACCATTTTTTTTCGAGCGTTTCTTAACGCGTATATTAGTTTACCCAGCAACCGGTTTGGTTAGACAGACATGTCGATCTCAGAGGAGCTAGCGGCGTCGCTGGGAGTGGCTCCCTCCCTGATCACCCTCCTGCTCTGCCTCTTCTCGTCCATCCCCGCGGCTCTGGTCGTGCGCTTCCTCCCGGGTCCCACATTGAAGCATCTCTACAGCATTGCTGCCGGAGGGGCTCTCTGCTGGGTGGCGTATGGCGGCCTTCACGGCAAGTGTGATGTCTGTCATTGCTAGCAGCATACGCTCGTCCCGTTTCAGTGGTTCTCGTTGCAAGTGACAGGAATGCATTCAGCTAGTCGGTTTTGCAACGTTCCAGTTGCTGACATTCCCTTCCACAGGCCAGCTAGACCGCCAGCAGTCTGTTATCTGCAATCTCGCATTTTGCTTCACTGATCGAAATCGCCACTCCATCGCGTGCTTTCGCCAATGCAGCGAGCCTCAATTTCTGGGGCCTAACCCTCGCGTCGTACGCGCTCATGCTCGCCCTTCCTCGCAAGTGGAGCGGTTATGGCGTGCTCTTCGGCTCCTTCACCTACCTCACCTACTGGTATGCCTCCACCCTTTTTTTTTTCTTAATCTCTTAGTTTTATATTTTGTTCCCGTCCCAATGTCACATCGTAAGAATCACATCAAGGTTTTGTTGAAGAAAACATTCTTTCTTATCTCGTGCTTTCCAACCTCTCATGGGGCGCTAGTTCTGCCTGAACTCAGCAACCACATGAACTGCCTGGGAACACATATTTTAGGCTCTCAAGAACAGGCACTTTCTTGCGTGAACCAGAAAGGTACACGAGCATTCTGCGAGCGGACTTGTGGAGGTCGATTCGCTTTGAAACGTCTCAACCAAATGGGCTTTGGAATCTGTGACTGCGCATTTCTTGCATGAACCCTTCAGTCACATAAGCAACCTGGGAGCGGACGTGTGGAGGCAGGGAGGCGTGGACTTCACGGGCACGCTCATGGTGTTCACGCTTAAGATCTCTGGGTGCGCCATGGACTACCAGGACGGCGCGCTGCCGGAGGACAAGGTATTGTCTGCGGTGATAACAAGGTAACACGGTAGTGTGGTACATGATATTATGGTAACAAGGCTGGACGCTCATGGTGTTCACGCTCAAGATCTCTGGCTGTGCCATGGACTACCAGGAAGGCGCACTGCCAGAGGACAAGGTATGCTCTGCGGTGGTAACAAGGTAACACGATAGTGTGGTAAATGATAACATGGTAACAAGGCTGGACGCTCATGGTGTTCACGCTCAAGATCTCTGGCTGTGCCATGGAGCGCACTGCCAGAGGACAAGGTATGCTCTGCGGTGGTAACAAGGTAACAGGCTGGCGCGCCCATGGTGTTCACGCTCAAGATCGCCGGCTGTGACATGGACTAGTACAATGACGGCGCACTGCCGGACGACAGGGTATGCTCCGCGATGGTTGTTACAAGGTAACCCAGTAAGACGGCTGGAAATGCTCATGGTGTTTGTGCTGGAGGATTGAGGCTGAACCGTGATTACCAGGATGGCGCGCTGCCAAAGGATAAGGTAGTTCGCAATCATTGTAACAAGGTAACAGGCTGGCGCGCCACTTTCGGGACATGCAACAGTCCACCCACATTCTTCCCCCTTCCCCTTCTCCCTCCCCCAGGCGCAGCACCGCATGTACAGCAACAGGCTGGCGCGGCTGCCGTCGGTGGTGGAGTTTTTGTCGTTCGTGTTCTTCCCAGGCGCCGCCCTCGTGGGACCCGTGTTCAACCTGAAGCAGTACCAGGCGTATGCTGCCGGGCAAGGGGTGAGTTTGAGCTGCCTTGGAAGGGGCCTTCATGCACTACCAGGTGTATGTTCCCGGACAAGGGGTGAGTGCAGGAGAAGGGAGAGATGAAGTGAGGGCGGTTCTTCCCAAACGCCTTACTGGTGGGACCCGTGTTCAACTTGAAGCAGCAGTACCAGGCGTACGCCGCTAGGCAAGGGGTGAGTGCGGTGAAAGGGGGAGAAGAAGTGAGAATGTTCTGTGTTCTTCCCCGTCGCCGTGCTGGTGGGACCCGTGTGCAACTGCAAGCAGTACCAGTCGTACGCCCCTGGGCAAGGGGTGAGTGCCGGGGGGGGGGGGAGAGAGAGGAAATGAAGGGAGAAGGAAGACGTGAGACGACTCAATGGCGCCATGCTGGTGGGGCCCGTGTTTAACTGCAAGAAGTACCAGGCATATGCTGCCGAGTGATGGGAGGGAGGAGACGAGGTGGGGGTGTTGTGTGATCTTCCCTGGCGCTGTGCTGGTGGGGTCCGTGTATAACCTGAAGCAGAACCAGACGTACGCCACTGCGTAAGGGGTGAGTGCAGGGAGGGTGGAGGGAGGAAGTGAGTGTGCTGGAGTGGTGTTTGAGTCGAACGGCCATATGCACGCTGCCCTATCCCCTCTGTTCACTCGCGCCCTTCTGCCCTGTGCCACTGTACCTGCAACCCTGTGTGCGACCGTGCCTCCCCCAGCTATGGTCGCCATCTGGAGCCGTGGTGCCAAGCAAGGCAGCTGATACCAGCAAGGGGGAGGAGGGGAAGCTGACGCAGAACGGGAACGGGGAGGCGGACAGGGCGCAGGGCGAGAGCAAGGGCGAGGGGAAGGGCGAGAGCAAGGGCGAGAGCAAGGGCGAGGGGAAGCTACGAAAGATGCCGGAGCCGCTGCCGTATGCAGCACAGGCGCTGGGGAAGGCGATCATCTGCCTGGCGATGCACCACTTCCTCTCCCAGCACTTCGGCCCTGCCCTGCTCTTCCAGCCCCGCTTCCTCACCTACGGTTTTGCATACAAGTGAGTCTGTGCAGGGCTAAGCAGCGTTTGCAGCACTAGCGGCCTGGCAGCATCAGCAGCGTCAGCCTTCGGATGATATTTGCTTGCCACAGACTCTGCCACTGCCATACGCAGCGCAGGCGGGGTGAAGAAGTGGAGTTCCCGATTCCCGTCTGTTCCTGATTCCCTGCCGCCCCTCCTCTTCCTTCTCCCACATCCCTTCGTACAAAATCCCCACCTCCTTTCCCTCACATCACAGGTGGGGCCACCCGGTAAGGGCGAGTATCTGCTTCCGATGCTCAGGTCAGGTGGCTTATGAGTTGACTAGAAAATCCTCGTCCATCTCCCCTCACATCACATCACAGGTGGGGCTGCCTGGTGATGACGGGTATCTGCTTCCCCTGCTCCTGCTACTTCATCTCTGCGCTTCTCCCACCCACCCTTACCCACCCTTCTCTCCTACGTCTCCTGGTCCCAACCCCCTCTGCCCCACAGGTGGTTCTGCTTGGTGGTGGCGGGCATCTGCTTCCGCTGCTCCTACTACTTCATCTCTTCACACCCGTTCCCACCTGTCTCTCTGTACCCCGTCCCCTTGTTCTGATCCGCACTGCATCCCACAGGTGGTTCTGCCTGGTGGTGGCGGGCATCTGCTTCCGCTGCTCCTACTACTTCATCTGGAGTGTGGCAGAGGCTGCTGTGATCCTCTCTGGATTCGGCTTCTCCGGCTGGACCGACTCCTCACGTCCAGACTGGTGAGTTCCAAGATCTCATTATAAAATCCACTTGGAAAGTGGTAGAGGGTGCTGTTACTCTTTCTGCATCCCACTTCTCCGGTTGGACCGACTCCTCCCCCTCGCGCCCCAACTGGTGAGTTCCGAGATCGCATTATAGAATCCACTAGGAAAGTGGTAGAGGCTGCTTTTGCTCTTTCTGGATTCGGCTTCTCCGGCTGGACCGACTCGTTCTCCAGTCGACTCGATAAGTGTTTGAGATGTGGTTGAGGGTGCTGCTTGAAAATGTTTAAAACCTATGTGGTCGAGGGTTTTTCTTCAGAATATTAAAAACCGATGTGGTTGAGGGTGCTTCTTGAGAGTATTTAAAGCCCACTCGGACTGACTCCTTCGCCTCGCTCCCATGATTACATTTGCTGTTTTCTCTGGTGAATTAGCTAAGTGTTTCATCGCGTTGGCCAATTTCTGATGCCTGCTCTCGGATGGAAAAAGATGGTCGCATCTCGTATGGCTGTTCATTCTCATTGTTGGTTATTACCATCCCACACCTCGACCTTTCCCATCCACTTGAACGTCTCCACATCTCCCAAACATCATGCCGCCCCACCTTCCACTCCGTCCACCCCCCCACCCTCCAGGAGCCGGGCGGAGAACGCCAATTTCATCAAGTGTGAGATCACCGCGAGCCTACCACGTTGATGTGTCTCTCGATCCACCTGACAGCTCTCACATATCTTGACCGTCCTCCCCAACCCCTCCCTTCCGGCCACTCCCCATCCCTCCAGGAGCCGGGCAGAGAATGCAAATTTCATCAAGTGTGAGATCACCACGAGTCTGGCGCAGATGCCTGCCTACTGGAACATGGGCGTCGGCACGTGGCTCCGCACCTGTGTGTGGGTTCTCTGGGTTGAGATTAGGGGAGTCTTCCTTGGGCTTAGATTAGATTTGCGCGTTTGGGCTTAGAGTTGCGCGTTTGGGCTGCATGCCTACTGGAACATGGGCGTCAGCACGTGGCTGCAAACATTCAGAGATCACGTGCTCTTAGGTTTAGGATTTCGGATGTAGGATGTCCGTGGGACTTTGGGGTTGAGTGCATGGGAATGGGAGCGCGCAGTGATGGGTAGGTGAGAACACGAAGGTGAAAGCAGGAAAGGAGGTCCTTTCCCTTCCCTCCCCCTTCTCTCCACCTCCCCTCCCCACCCACCTCCCCCGGTCTTCCCCCCCACTCTCTCCACCTCCCCCTTCAGACGTGTACGACCGGGTGACACCTCGCTCGGGCAAGCCCACCATGTGGACGCTCGTTTTCACTCAAGTCGTCTCCGCGCTCTGGCATGTGAGTCGTCTCCGCGCTCTGGCATGTGAGTCGTCTCTGCGCTCTGGCATGTGAGTCGTCTCACGATGTTTGTTGAGTTGACTCTAGAGCTCTTCTCCCCACTTACTGGGCCTTCATTGCCAACCTGCCTGTTGCTTGAATCCTCGCCTGTTTGAGCCGGCTCTAGAACAGCTCGTCCCACAATCAGCACCTTGATTACCATCTCTTTCTCTCTTCCACAGTCTGTCAGCGCTGCCATAAGCTCTCCAGACCCACCGCATTCCACTCCCTCGTGTTCCACTCCCTCCTCTTCTGCACAATCTGCACCCCATTTCTCTTTGTCACTGTCAGCACTACCATCGGCTGGTTTAGTCCTACCGCACTCCACCCCCTTGTACCCATACACCTTTCGCCCCCCTCCGTCTCCTTGCAGGGTCTTCACCCAGGCTACTACCTCTTCTTTTTCAATGCCGCCATCGGCTCGTCAGTCTCGCATCCCCCATCCAACCCTCATCCATCCCTTCTTCCGCCACTCTCCCTCCCCTCCCAGGGTCTTCACCCCGGCTACTACCTCTTCTTTGTCAACGCCGCCATCGGCCAACACACCTCCAAGCGTACGTCTCCTAACTGCCTGTGTCTCTGCCACTGGAAGATTCTCTTTGCCTTTTACTCTCTGCGCTGCTTAGAGGGCTCTAGGGTTTCCCCCTTTTGTCTCCTCTAAGTAGCATCCAGCTTCATGACCTTGTTGGGAATCCTCACTCGCTCTTTTCTCGCTCCAACTATTTTAACCTAACGCACGTCCCTTGCGCGCCCCCTCGTGTGTCTCCTTGTGGCATGGAATGGCATGTTGTTGCATGGCATGGCATGGCATGGCATGGCGCGGCACGTAACACCGCAGAGGTGTTCCGGCACACGGCAGCAGCGTTCCCGAATCAGTCAGCAGCAGTGAAGGTCACCATTGACGTGATGCAGGCCGTGTTCAAGCAGCTCATCATCAACTACTCCAATGCTGGCTTCCTGGTGAGCAAAGGACGAAGGGCAAGTGAAAGTGAAAGGGAAAGGGAAAGGTAAGGTACGTCATGCCTGCCTTCCCCGTGTTCAAGCAGCTCATCGTGAACCACTTCTTTGCTGGCGTCCTTGTATGTCTGCCATCTGGCCTCCTGGTAGGACTTTCACCTTCATGAAATTGCTTCACCTTCTCGCTTCCTGTGAAACCTTGCTTCCACTGCCTTCCTGTTCTCGTCCCTCCTCTCCCATCCCTCCTCACCCCATCCGCTCCTTTCCTATCCATGTGTATTCCCCGTCGTTGCATGGACTTACCCCCCAGGTGCTGCAAGTTTTGCATTCTCCCCTTCCTCGCCCCATTCATCCGCTCCCAGTTGCGTGAACTCAGATATCGGTGTCCCCTTCATTGCCTTCATTGCCTCCACACCCCCCAGGTGCTGCAATGGGGGCAGACCATAGCGGTGTGGCGGTCGCTCTTTTTTATGGGCACCGTCGTCCCCATTCTTCTCAACGTGCTGCTGTCCGTCATTCCCACTCGCTCCCGACGCCACAAGAAGGTCGAATAATCTTCGATCGAATTCGGCCGCTGCTCCCATTCGCGCCCTTGTGTTTTTGGCGCCACAAAATGGTCTCATGATGTCCAAATTGGTATGTTTTGCAATTTGGCGTGCGCTTTTGTATGGTGCTGAGCATTCATTGAACACTAGGCCGCCCGATCTCCTGTAGCGGCACATAATCGGAGGGATATAAGGGCGTTGTAATTACCTTGTTCAAGATGATCCGCTTTGCGGTCATGTTCGCCTTCTCGTAAAATGAGGTCGATGTATATCATGTGTCAGTGTAGGTAAGGGCGTATTCTCTCAAAGTATGAACAGCTGCATGATGTGCACAAGCAGTGATGGGATACAAATACCGTACCAACCCTAAAAGAGTTGTACGGTACTCCTTAGGGTGCTACTCATTGTTGTTGGGCTGAACGCCCTAGGATCTTTGGTAGAGTTTAAGTCTGAGTCAATGATGTAGTAGCGGAAGCGTTTTGAATAAAGTCCTTGAACCACCTTGCGCTAGTATGTGAGGGCAAAGTAAGTTGATTAAAGCAAAGAGATACAAAAATATATATAAGAGTACAGAGAATACGAAGAGACATAATTGTAACTACTTTACTGTTGCGGTTCGATACAGTGCGACTCGGGCAACTGCTCAATGTCGAGTCAGTTGTGTGTCCTTGCTGTCGCGCTGCATTTGTCAGGTCAAAGGTCGCTGACCTTTGACTTTCGCGTAACCTCCAGCGGTTACATCAACCTCCGAGGGTTGACTCGCTGGTGCTTCGATTTGCGTTGCTTCGCTTGTGTCTTGAAGTTTCGACACGACAGAGGCGCTTAAGGCTATTTGTTCCCAACAATTGTAGTATAGGAGCTAATTTAACCACCCCCCCATATGATAAGTAGGGGAAATAAGAACAAGCGAAGGAAACAAATGGTACGGTAACAAGATTAGTCAATAGAAATAACAATACACATCTCAAGGTGGATCACGAATTCACCACACTGTCTGAGAGAAAGCAATGGGCCAAAAGGTCAGTTCAAGAGTTCACAGATGTATATAAGTAGCAAGATAGACAGTGCTAGAAACAAGAGGCAAGACTACATAACTGAGAGCCTGACTCAACAAGGTCTAGCTGCAAACAAAATCTGTGGTGGTCAACAGGCGGAAGGGCCTTGGTGAAGATGTCTGCTGTGTTGAAGCCACAAAGTCCAAGTGTGCATGGCCGCATCGGCGCAACCCTCGCAAAAAAAAGTACCTCACGTCGACGTGCTTCACTCTGCCCTCCGGTTGAGGGTCTCGACACAGGAGGATCATGACATTGTTGACAGCGAACAAGGTCGGTGCAGAGCGAGGCCACTCACCAAGGTCCGTGAGCAAGAAGGTCAACCAACGAAGTTCCTGCGCAGCCATGGAACCAGCGTTGATCTTGACATCAGTCTACCCTTGGGAAGTGAGGAGTGGAAAGCAGCCTACCCCGACGCAAACACGATTGGGAGACCTTAGACAAGGCGTTAACTAGACGTGTGAAGGAGACGTGAGAGGGACGCGTGTCCGAGAAGGTGGTGCCACACGACTGTCAGGTGGACGAGTGCTCAACAGGAACACGATGCAGCAACCGCCCTGTGACGACCACTGTGTAGCCAGGTCGTCAACCCAAGAAGCGTCTGAGTGCCCAGTGGGGACAACCGAGCTCCGCCCTCCAAGCACGAGCCCCATGCCCGATGTACTGCTCAAGTAGCGCAGTACCCTCTTTGCAGCATCGAAGTGCACCTTTCGGTGCCTACTAGGAGCCACGTAGCGTGCCAGAAGGCCAAGAGGGTATGCAAGGTCAGGACGAGTGCAGGTCATCAGATACATGAGGCATCCCATTAGCTCTGGGTATGGACCACTCGGCTCTACGGACTCGTCCGAAGGTGGAGCTGAGAGCAAGTGACCTGTAGCCAGGGGAGTGGACTGTGGCGAGGACCAAGTGAAGCCGAAGCGCTGAAGTTCCTGCGCAGCCATGGCTCATAGTCATGCTGAGCGGCAACGTGCAGCAGCACAGGAAGAGTGGTCATCTTCGGGGTGGGGGAGAAGGTCTGGAAGAAGTCAACTCTCTGTCTCCGACTGAAGCCTCGTGCAACGTAATGAGCCTTGAACAAAGGCGGAGAACCCGGGAGCCGCTTCACCCTGAAAATCCACATGCCATCGACTCCGTTTGTCCCAGGAGGGGGAACTGCGTAGACGTAAGTGCCTGTGGACTTCCAGGATGCCATCTCTGCGTCCATGGTTGTCTGCCACTAAGAGGAGTACTCACCAGCGATCGCCTCAGCGTAAGAGCGCGGGGTCGGGATGTCTGGAGCATCCGGGTCTCCCTCAGGGGCAAGCAGCATGGCCACGAGATGAGGCGCAGCGGCTGCAAGACACTCAAAGTCCTCGTGCCTGTCCTCAAGGACGTCCGTGCCAAGAGCACACTCACCCCCGACGGACGGAGGACAGACACACTCAGACTCAGCAACAAGACTAGCAGTGAAGTCTAGACGACAGGCAGCAGCAAAGTCAACAAGCTCAGAGTCCAAGGTAGACGCAGCAGCAGACTCAAACGACGGGTCAGTGACAACAGTGGCTAGCAGACGCGTGACAGTAGGGTGAGCAGCACGAACCAGGTCAGACTCAGGGTCCTGAACGTCAGGCATAGAAGACGCAGGAGGAGATGGCAAGGGAACACGCTGTGGAATAGAGGAAGGACGAAGTGCCATAGTGTGCGTGCCGGGGACAGGAGGAGGACGCTCACGAGGAACACGACGACTAGTGCGACCAGCGCGAACAAACGAGGCAGGACGAGACACATGCTCACGTTGCTCTGTAAGCAAGTCTGCCTGCTCAGTGTAAGGAGAAGGAGCAGGCAGTGGAGAGCCTGGATGTAACGGGAGGCCATTAGAAGACGGGAGGCTAGGAACCTGGCGAAGCACAGAGTCAGGCTGTGGGAGAGACGACGGTGACGGCGGAGCGAAGAGCAGTCGCGGCTATGCAATACCACCAGCACCACTACCACCAGCACCAACACCTCCAACAGCAGCAGAACCTCAAGCTCCAGCGCCTCCAGCTCCAGCGCCTCCAGCTCAAGTACCTCCAGCTCCAGCGCCTCCAGCGCCAGCGCCTCCAGCTCGAAATCTCGCAACACCACCAGCTCCGGCAGCTCCAGCACCTCCAGGACGAGCACCAGCAGCACCATCTCCTCCAGCAGCTCCAGAACCTCCAGCCCCAGGGCCTCCAGCAACAACACCCCCAGAACCGGCACCTCGAGCTCCAGGGTCTCCTACTCCATGGTTGACAGGACCAGCTCCAGAGCCTCCTGCTCCAGGGCCTCTAGCAGCAGCACCCCCAGAACCGGCACCTCCAGCTCCAGGGTCTCCAACTCCAGGGTCGACAGCACCATCTCCAAGGCCTCCAGCTCCAGTGCCCCCAGCAGCAGCATCCCCAATTGGCACCTCCAGCTCCAGGGTCTCCTACTCCAGGGTCGACAGCACCAGCTCCAGGGCCTCTAGCTCCGTGCCCCCAAAACCAGCACCCCTAGAACCGGCACCTCTAGCTCCAGGGTCTCCAACTCCAGGGTCGACAGCACCAGCTCCAGGTCCCCCACCTCCAGTGCCTCCAGCAGCAGTACCCCCAGAACCGGCACCTCTAGCCCCAGGGTCTCCAGCTCCAGCGCCTCCAGCTCCAGTGCCTCCAGCTCCGGCAGCGCGACTCCGAAGGCGGGTGCGCGAAGCAAGCCATTCGCGCAGTTGCCGCGGCGAGAGAGGTGACCGCTGCAACGCGGCACTAGGAGGACCTCCGGCAGACTTAGCACCCCTAGGCTCAGCACCAACAGACTCAGTACCCCCTGGGCCAGCACCTCGAGGGCCAGCACCTCCAGCTCCAGTGCCTCCAGCACCACGGACCCCGGCAGCTCGAGTACCTCTGGTACGAGCCCCTCCAGGACCCTGCACCCCCAGCGCCTCCACGACGAACGGCTCCAGCAGCTCCAACCGCAACACCTCGAGCTGCAGTACCTCCAGCACCAGCAGCACGACTCCTCAGGCGGGTACGCCACGCCAGCCACTCTCGTAGCTGGTGTGGTGAGAGAGGCCCCCGTCGTGAAGAGAGACCCCCAGACTCAGCACCCTCAGTCTCAGCACCCCCAGGCTCCGCACTCGTAGGCCCAGCACCCCCAGGCTCCTCACCCCCCAGCACCTCACGAACAGTCTCAGCACCCCCAGACGCAATACCCCGAGAAGCACCACCCGCAGCAGTGCCTGAGTCGCTAGTGACCTCTACAGGCTCAGCCAAGGGGAGTGGGTCTACTTGAGACACACCTGAAGGGGCAGGACCTTGAGGGGGGAGGGGGTCTACCGGAGGGGGACCTGGAGCGAGGAAAAGCGGTGGGGGAGGGAGAGGGGCAGTGCGGTAGGGGAAGAGACAGTAGAAAGGAACCGACTCGTCAAAGGTGACGTCCTGAGAGGGGAAGACACGGCGCGAGGTGGGGTGGTAAATCTGCCAACTAGGCGCGTCAGGGACAAAGCCAAGGAAGACACAGGGAATGGTGTGGGAGGAGAGCTTGTCCGCGGACGTATCGCGGACAAGAGCACGAGCACCCCAGACTTGGAAACGTGACGCATCGCCAACCTCCCCCGTCCAAGGCAGTGTGGGCGAGGTCTCCGGCAAGGAGACACGGGGCCAGAGGTTGAGTTGTTGCGCGGCGTACCGGACCGCAAATGGCCACAGAAAATGGGGAGCCGCCGCATGGATCAAGGAGGTACGTGCGATCTCCATGACCAAGCCAATGCGGCGCTCAGCAATCCCATTTTGCTGCGGTGAGCCCGGAAGCGGGAACGACTGCTCGATGCCCTCCCCCTGACGGAAGGCCCGCAAGAGGTCGGAGGCGAACTCACCACCTCTATCAGAGTGCAGACGCAGGACAGGAAGGTCCTAGCGGAACCTGCGGCGGAGCCGGAGACGAACTGCTCGGATCCAAGGGATCAGGACAGCAAGGACCTCACCC